TATCCCCGTTGCCACAGCCCCTACAAGCGGGGGACAGCAGCGGGGATCCATGGAGTCACAGATCCCTGCCTGGAGCGGCTCCAGGCAGGGATGAGAGGCTCCAGATGCCGCCAACTTTTCCCATTGATTTGATTTTCAACTGCTGCGTTACTCGCGTTTGTAAAAGACCCCCCAAACCATATATTTTCTGAAAGCGCAGGCCCGGTAGAATAAAAAGATGGTGATACTAAATTTGTAGGCCGTGCGATAATTGCGCAAATGTTTCTCAAATTAATATTAAACCGATAAAAATACACAATTCAATTGATAAAACACACTAAAATCAGTATCAGCGCACAAAAAATAATAATTTTCTGACTAAATCTAAAAGATAAAACTGTATTGAGTTAATAAATAACAAATATTTGCAAATTTGAAATTGCGCATTTTTGCGAAAAGGTAAAAAAATTACGGTACGCAAAACTGTAAATAAGCAACTTATGTTAAAAATTTTTTTTGAAAATAGTGGTCATCAGCGGCTTGTGAGCCGCTGATGACAGCTATTAATTTAAAGGGGACAGTCTGCTGAACAGTTCTACTATAAGCTGATGGTCGCTAAAGCAACTATCAGCTTATAGTAGAACTGTAAATGCCAGGTCCGTACGGCATACTGAGCTGGCCAGCTGAAAGCACTTTTGTAGCTCCGTACGTCCTTGGCAGCGAAAGGGTTAAATCAAACTTGCCACTATATAAAGTTATCCTGAGGACAGAAAAGCAGACAACCAGATGTGCCCACCAATACCAGGGTTGCCTAATATCCTATGGCAGAATGCCCTCCTACCCCTGGGTACCTAAAAGCAACAGAGGGGCAAGCATCGCTGCTGGGTTTCCAGTTTCAAAAGGGTGATAAGCTGATATTTGACAACAGATCGCTCTGGATTAGGAGGCTACCAGTGCATTCTAGAAGATAAACTGTGTAGATATTCTCTTATTTAGGTATTTCAACCTTAATGACAATAACCTTACCCAAGTGACAGGTATCCTTTAAATCTTATACTACTGGTCACAAATCTCTGGACTTTTTCTTCTTTCCATCAGTAAATCCAAAACGACTTATGTGTGACTACATGTTGTTCCTGGAGTTTGACTTTAATCCCTGAACCCCTATATAGTCTTAATTAGTCATTTTGAAAAAAAGTACAAAAGAGCCAACAGTAGGTAACATTTGTTTTATTTACATCACAAGAGTAACACGCTGCCATCATGTGGTAGAAAATACTGCACTGCTAAGAAAGTTCAAATCCATCATCCTTGTCACAGAAAATAAAGAAAAATAAAATAAAGACCTAGTCAATCAGTGGAAAAAGTAGATAAAAATGGCAAACAATACAAAATGAAAGAGGAAAAAAAATAAAAAAAGTGTTCAGCTCCTGCAGAGGAACAGAAAAGTGGCAGATAAAGAGCCCGAATCTCTGTAACAATGGGCTGAAACCTGACCAAAGAAAACGCAGGTGAATGTAAAATGTCCCAAAGGATTTATCGTTATAAAACGGTCATGACGGATCTGCTTTAAGGACCCGGTAAACAATGCATCAAATTCTCTAAGTTTATATTCTTACTTTTATATATATATTATGTATATATATCTATATACATGAGAGTCTCACCACCAGAATATGGAAAGTCACACTCCAGACACATGTGTGATCCCTTCTTCCAGTCTGTACTATATGAAGCCGCCTCTTGAGGGCGCAGAATACAAAACGGCTCTCGCTGGAGGTTTTTCTTTTCAATTTTTTTATTTTTTTGCTGTAAAGTTTTCAGGTTTATGTATTTTCTTCCTTCAAAACACAGTGCGTTGGCAGCGTGGGGTGGGCATGTAGACACCCCTGTATAAAAGGCAGCAGTTGCTCTTGCCTGCTATGTGAGGGTCACCTCTGAAGTAAACAGACACTGGTGGCAGCTCTTTACCGTTGAACTTGAAGAGATGAAAACAGGCTATATGTTCAGTGTCTATTATGACAGATAACAAGTGCTAGAGAACTGCAGGGCTGAGGATGCTGGGAATGATCAAATTAATTCCAAATAAGGGGCGCCTGCACCACTTCACCATTATTTCTTGTGGTGACACCAAGCAAAAGGGTTAAAACAAAAAAAAAACAAAAAAAAAAAAAAAAAAAAAAAGGGAAAAAATCTTGAATTACAGCTGAAAAAAAATAAAAAAAAAAAAAAAAAAAAAAAAAAAAAAAAAAAAAAGGTACATAGTCTGTATTTACAGTCTAAAAAAAAAAAGAAAGCGAGAGACTGTCAAGACTACACCCACTCCCATGGCACTCTCCAAAAAAATATTAGAGATATTAAACACAAGATGGCCACTTGTTGATACAATGGGAGAATTTGCTACATGCCTCAGAGTGGAAACACGATAATGCTTACACTGCCTGAAAACGTCATCATCACTGTTGGAAAAATATATACCACAGAGCAGTAGACTACAGGAACAGTGTGAGAACTTCCAGCAATATGGCAGAGAGGACATGCGAAATGGACATGCCTGACTGATTCTCTGAAGGCTGACATAAGGTACACAGTGTTTACACAGGGCTGCAGCTTGCACTACTACAAGCCCCTTTAATAGTGTTCTATTACTAAAATAAAGAATATATCTACACACATCATGGGAGGCTTGAGAATGCAATACTAATTAACTATATTTCTGATTAGGCCCCATTCACACTATTATACAGCAAATGCATTCCATTCTATCCTATTTGCAGGTGACCGCCTTGGTACTTCAGGAGATACCACATGGTACTTCCCCAAATGCATCCCAGATGTTTCATGTATTATACACTGAACATTTAGGGGAATGCACTGTTGCCAGTGGAAAGGGAGAGGATTTAATCAATGCTATTGCCATTTCACCTATGACTAAAATCATAGGAGAACCTTTCTGACTGTGCTTAAAGAATCCTGAGACTTTGTTTGCATATATTGGTAATATCACTATATACCTAAGATTATCTGTGCAAATCTTTTATCTAGTCAGAAGCACAGTTTAAACTGACACAGCAATACTTTTCTCTACTAGAGCAGCATTTTTTAACTTTATGAACCTATTACCTTTCTAATAAAGGGCCAGATTCCCACAAAATGATCATCCCTACTAATACCCCCAAATAGTGTATTTATGTTTTTCAGTCGCTCAAATTTTTAAAGGGCTGTTGTATTTTAAAGCTACAAATCCCCCCCCCAGCCCCTTCCTTCTCTTTAAATTATAAACTATCAGTATACATCTGAATGTAGACCTCACTGCCTGCCCAGGGACCAGCGTGTTTACACTATGCAGTGCTACCATGACTCTGGCACAAGGCACGTACCATCACAGCCATAAAGAACAATGACCACCAATGGTGCTTGATGCAGATGGTTGTCATCCTCTATGGCCAAGCTTCAACATGCACAACGTATCATAAAGCCCTCAGAACACTGCACAAGGTAAACCGTAATGGACACCCTGGGCAGGACTCCGAAGGAGGATGATGAGCCAAAATTTGCTGTATACAATGAGATTGAGTGGGTTAGGGGTTTATCAAAAAAATAAACATGGCTACCCAAAGAATCAGTTTTGGTAAATATGTGAAAATAAAAAACTATAAATTCTTCAGTGGACTTTATTAAGCAGAAGTACCCACTGAAACTATTAAAAGAATCCCATCCCGGGGTACACAAAACACTAGTTGGGAATGTGCATTTGAAGGTGATATTCACAAAACAAGCTGTTCCTCCAAGTCTATCCCTGCCACTACCAGCTCCCTTTACAGCCGACCTTACTAACAACTGCCAACGACTGAGACAGCCTGCAATTAGGATTCAGAGAGTTCTGTACTCTCAAACTGATGTGAATAGCATGTATGGGGTCCAATACTCTTCTCTCGCCTCCTGACATGAACAATCCAGGTCCTTTCCTTTCCAAAAACAACTGTTTTTCACCTGTCCAACACGCAGAAACATCTTCAAGAACCCTAAACACTCCAGTTCCTCTCCACTCCACACATTACAGTTTTTTGCCTTCTACCGAAAAAGGACTTTGTATAGAGAAAAGGAAGAGAAGCTGTTATTTCATGGCATGTAGATCTTCAAACATGGAGATCAGGTAATATATTTTGCTTACATTTTCTGTTTCCTAAAAAAGCACGCACTCTCAGCCTAACATAATACTTTGAGATTGATCCATGTAAAAGAAAAAAAAAAAAGTGTCCTTCACAATATGAGGCTCAGAGGATGAACTGCATATTAGATCCCCTGCCAACATTCTTTCTGCCCAGCACAGCAGCTTGCCCATTTACACAGTATAGGACGAGCTGTGCTTGATTCATGCAACCTCAAAAGTATATAGTAAAATCTAGAAAAATAGATTCATATATATTTTTTAATATATAATTATCTTTATATATATATATTTTTTAAAATTTTCTTTATAGGGAGGTCAATGCCCAGAAATAGGAGTGTGGCCCCTCCCTTGCACACACAAAATGATATACCGTGGAAAACATGGAATGAGTGGGATGGTAGAGTGTGCAGGCTATTTATATATTTAATAAAGAGAAATAATAATTCACACAAGGAATGAAAATTCATAGTGAAAACAGTAATATTCGAAACACATCTGTCCCAACTGTACCTCCATCTTCACCAGAGAAACCATCCTACTTTTCCAATTGCAGCTTAACTGAAGAAACCAAAAGACTCAGCCAATATGGCAAGCTATGTCCCACTTCTCATGCTATAAAGGGTACTTTGACACTATAGTAACCAACATATCATGCTCTGAAAGGTGCCTTATGAATGAAGGTGGACTACCTAGACTTTTTTCAGTTTTGACTTTAGGGTCACAATGATAACTTCTAGAACACTATAAAGTCCAATTTCACTAGAACTTTATACAAAAATTGAAACACTCAGCTGAAAAAACAGGTATCGCAAAATAAAAATGATATGATCATGTATGCACCTTTCAAAGCAGGTCCAGGGCATATACCTGCTGCTATGTGTACATGCCTTAGGAAAGCACTAAACATGCAGTTGCTGATTATTTGCCAAATTACAGACCAAGTCAAGACCCAAAATTCTAAAATTCCAGAATAGAGTGTCAAGAGTACAAATACATGATTAAAGGATGCAAAAAGTCTGCAAATAGATTGAAAGTCGGACTGCAGAAAACTGGGAGCGTGTGATGGGGAGGATGGGACTGCAAAAAACACACACAGTGTGACAGGAAATAAAGAGACCGTTTGGTGCAGTGCGGTGCTGTTTTGTGCAGTCACAGGCTGTAGTGTAGTTACAAAATGACAATGAAAAAAAAATAATATATATACACAGTAAGGGCACAATGTGAGGGTCCCAACACTCAGAGGAAGGGGAAAGAGGGGGGGTTCCACAAACCCCCTGGCTATTACTCCAACACACACCATGTGTTGCCAGTACAGGAAACAACATATGTCAAGGTGCAGCCTGCAGCACAGCCCCTAGAAAAACCACTCAAAATGCAGCCAAATTCAAGCTGCCAGGGAACAAGTAAAACTGCCAAAAGGCAGTAACATGCTGTTCCCTTAACAGTGATGGTGTTCACCCTAGGAATCTGTTAGGCAATGGGTGCGAGTCACATGCTGCTGGAAATTCAGCCACAACTCTCAGCATGGATAATAAGTGCTATATTGAGGTTATATCCAAGACTGAGCGCACCCTGCTCCCTCCATGCAATCCCAGGAGCAAGGCCCACATACAGTACATTATTGGTCTCCTTAAAGTAATTAAAGTCCTATTAACAGCTCTTTCTGATCTGGAAACAAGTGAGGTAAGAGGTACCTGTTACAAAGATACAATCAGAAGAGTCTTTATGGTTGTCCTTTCAATAGTTTAGTTGCAATAAGGACATTGCCGTTGTCACCACCCCCATATAAAGGATACATATAGGAAGTCTCGGTGGGAAGATCAGAGGATATCAAATGGAATCTAAAATAATCCCCTGAAAGACTCTTAGAAAAAAAAAAAATGCTCTTTGAAAAAAAAAAATTAAAAAAATTGTAGTCATCATGAGAAAATATATTACAAAAATATAAACACATGTATAAACTTTAAATCAAAAATAACAAATCAAAAATTGAAATGGGAACTGGAAATGTACTGTTTGCCTGCAATCTGGTTCAATTTTACACAGAATAATAAAAATAAAATAAAAAAAAACCAACAGCCATTTAAAAAAAATGAGCAGGCAGGCCCGGACATGCTTCCTGCACGGTAAGAGGCCATAATCCTCTATCTCCACTTGGTAGAATTCTACCTACAAATTCTCATTTGTGGTTCAAGTTTTGCTTGGAAAGCCCAGGTCATGAGTGGAGGAGACAGTCCATTGATCGTACATATACGACATGCAACTTGGTTTAGAGAAATAAAAAATAAAAAAACGGGGAGAACAAAAAATTAAAAAAGACGACTGTTGCTAGTCATCAACACTCCACTTCACAGCAAGAGAGGACACAAGGGTTTCTGTATTATGACTCCAAACATCTTCTGTTGGTTGTGTTTCAATTTTAAGGCAAGTCCTTCACACTTAAGAAACAATAAAGGAATAAACCATTCAAATGGAAAAAATGTATTCCAACCATGGACAAGGCACAATCCTTCCTCCTGTTTCTCTTGCAGAGTGAAAAGTCTGTCCTAGTAATAACAGGCTTCAGAGGATATCTTCCACCCACTGTATAACTCCCCTGTAAGAGAGAAATGTCCAAGAAACAGGCTAAACCGAGTGGTTTACACAAGTGTCCGTACAGCACGGCCACCCTCCCTTCAGCGCACACAGACTCTTTGTAAATCTGCAGAGTGTTTAAGCACCAAAACGGTTTACGAGGCCCCCAAAAGAGGTCACTTATGATCCTTGTTTTTCTTTGAATTAGTCTCTGTTAAAAACCATGAAAGAAAATAAGATTTTTGGCAAGAGCTGCCAGTGGCTCCTGGTGGAGCAGTGCCTGCTGTAACCAAGAACGGCACAGTATGGCCGCGCAGAGCACAGCGTGCCTCGCTTTGCGGGTCTGTGGATGTCATGTACACATAGTTCTTTACATCCATGTTGCTGCTCGTCTTCCTGGGGACAGAGCACAGGCGGAGAAATTGGAGGGCTCGACCTCCAACAAAGTTATGGAATCAAACAACAGACAATGACCAGTCCCTCTGCTACAGAGGGGGTTCTTCATCCATCGGCTCATCCTCTGTTCTGGAAGAGATGAATAAAAAAAAAAAAAATTACAGTCATTCAATGAAAACTACATAGTATGCATTTAAAGAAGAACTGGAATGGGACAGGATTACAATTCTGAGATTTTCATCCTTCCCCAGCATTGTATGGTATAGAGAACTCACGTCAGCAGGTGATATTGGAGGTGAAACTAAATGCAAATTTCTAAACCGAAACGAAACCGAAATAAAACAAATGTCAGGCCGAAACCGAAAATGTTTTTATTTTAACTTTTTCAAATTTTAAAAAATATTTTATTTTTATTTACTTTTAATAAACTTTTTAATTTTTTTTTAAATATTTTGTTTTTTTTTAACTTTACCTTTAGGGGCTACGGGGTAATATCAAGGATATATATATAGACCCCTGATATTTCCCTTTTCAAATAGAAAAAGAGATTGGGGACACAGAGTCGTCAATCTCTTTTTCTGCAGCCCCAGTTATAAATGAACAGGAATCCTCTGTACTGAGTGTTCCTGTACATTCATAACATGAGAACATAGTATGTTTACTATAACCACAACCATTCATTCATAATTGATATAGCAAGCATACTCTGTCCTCAATTATTTACAAACACTCAGCGATCACTGAGTGTTTGCATTGGCTCGCCTTTCTGACAGCTGTCACAGGAGGCTGGGCGGGGCAGTGCAGGAGGAGAGCTCAGCCTCCTGTGACAGCGCTGGCTGTCTCCGCTCACACCGCTCTCCTCTGATCTGTGACAGGAGGCTCAGCGGTGTGGGAGGAGAGATGCCGGCTGCCCATAGCTCTAGGCCGGCTGTCACAGTTCATCTCCCCCCCCCGCTGGGACACAGAGCAGCGCCCAGCAGGGAGGAGAGAAAAAACGGATACACCACTGTATCGGCCAGAAAATGGCACTTTCGGCATTAGTTTCGGCGGCCGATAAATCGGTGCATCCCTAATTGATATTTAACTTCTAAACCCAATATGGTGGTCACAGCATTGGATAATGTGGGATGATATCTTTCTGCTGTTCTCAGCCATGTAGGCCCTGCAGTCTCTACCTCAATCAAAACCTCTGGGTGATATTAAACTTGTCAAGACAGAAATATGGCAGTTGCCATCTTTGACCTGTCTTGATTGTTGCCAACGCTGAGGCCGTCATCCTCATCTATCTGGCCAAACATGTGAATATCAGGTGTCAGGAGAGCTAGAGAGTACGTATTTGTTTTGGACCACTGACTTACCAAGAGCTTGCCATTTTAAACCTAGCCAGCAGTGCCAACTCCTATTTTTATGGCTTCACAGAAATCCTTTAGGGCCCATTCACAACAGACGCTGTGCGATTAGCAGTGCCCCGGGACACTGCTGAAGCGCTGATTCCAGTGCATCACACTGTGTACACAAGTGATATGTCATTAAGTTCTACGGACACAGTGGAGTGCAAGGCGCTGCGTTGAAGAAAAAGCATGCTTTACTTTTTTCAGTACACACTACCACGTTCCTAACGCAACGCGATGGTGTGAATGGGCACCATCCATGGCAAGGCAAATTGCCTTGACTTGCGTTGGGGCCGCGCTGGAAACAATGGCCAGCGCAACTCCAATGCAGATGGTGTGAATGGACAATTCATGTTTTATTTATCCTAGGGCTTGGAAGTGAAGAAGTGCATCTACACTTGCCAAGAGGGTCTCAAGGTGGAGCTTTTCATTTCTCTATTCCTTTGCTGATCCTCTGCCTGGACAGCTAGAGCAGTAAGGGGAGATTAAAGAACTTCAGGTTGTAGATCTTCTCAGTGTGTCTCTGGAGGCAACACCACACATCCAGTGCTATTATTAATCATGAATAGATTTTTTAATCTCCTAAAACCAGCGAGATACTGGACACAACAATGTAATGTAGTATTGTTCACCTTCTCTCTGGACGGACATCCACAGACAGGGATGCCATCGCTGTCACTGTCTCGGCTTCTTCATTCTCACATTTCTGTGCCTCGACAAGAGAATAGGAGACTGTAGAAGAAACATTATGCAAACATGGCCAGTATTCACCTGCAAAAAACAAGACAACAGCAGATGAGGCATGCTCCTGTGGTAAAGCGCAACACTCTTTACTAGCCCATAATTGGTCTAAAACATGTGCATTCATATATGTACTATCTGTGCGAAATCATTCAACTCATGAACGCAGAGAATCAGGATTCATAAATCGCATGATTGCTCGTGGACAGGGTGAATTAGCATGTACTCATTTGTAGTTTCTACGCATTCACTTTAAACAACTGAAAATCTAACGATCGTACTGAAGCCTACAAGAAGACTAAATTCAAATTCCACTGGCAACACAATGGGTCTAAGGTTTGTATGCTTTCCCTGCATGTGTCTGTTTTCTCTGGGAGGTCCAGTTTCCTCCCAATACATAGGAACATATATTTGAGCTAAAGGACTGATAAGAATATGACCCTGTGTAAAGCAATGGATAATTAACCAAAGGTATGCAAATGTAAACAACATTCTGTCTGCATACAGCTATAGCACCAGCACTGTCTTTTCTCTCTAATAAAAAGAGGCAAAAACAGCATCACTATAGGCTGTCTATCAGATCACAGTAAAGAGAATCAACACAGCGAGTATCTCAGTATCTGCAATCCCAAAAATCAAAAGCATTCCTTATCGCTTATCTTTCAATTGATATGTTCAAAATAAATGCAACTAAAACTCCCCATTTCCCAAACTGTGCAAATGAAGAGCTGTGTTGCCCAAATCAATTAGATTCCCAGATTACTATTAAAGAAATGAGAAATACAGGGCTTGTAACAGACGCCTGGCTATATAAACAAGTGGTTGTTGCGCACAACCCAAAAACAAGGGTAATGCTGAGCAAGATAAATGGTAGAATATAATCCTGCAAAGGGGCAAGACATGCAGACTCAAGCATATTGTAAAGCAAACCATTTTCATTATTGTGAGTTAAGCACTCGACTCAGCTTTAATACCTACTTTGTATCTGAATGACTTTCTCCAAAGAGTTCACCGCATTGCTATTTGGTCTCTGTTGTAGCACAGACTCTGAAATCGGCTCTAACTGTAAGGGAGAAAGCACACAGAAGAAAGTCTGTTAGCACACAACTCAAGAGAAAGCATTGTCTGTGCTTTAAAGTGTAAACCCTAACAATGAACTTCTCTTATATGCTCCCGCTAGGTCTGCCAAATAAACAAATGTAAATGTTTGGTTATATCTGCTCAATGAGCCAAAAATACCTGTTGATAGTGAAAGAAATTTAGCGATGCTTTGTACAATCTGCCCGTGTTATCTCAAGGAGCCCAATAAGCCCTAATGACACAATTTTTTGAGCTGTCAGTCCAGAAATAGCACGTGTGCACAGCTTGTGACATGAATATAGGAGCCAAGTGCATTTCAGGCAGATCAACAGGTATTTTTATATAAAAGCAATAAACTGTGGGAAATGTGCTTCCCACAGTGCCCAGGCAATTTATTTGTCGCTGTACACTGGACGGTGTTCCTACTTTTCCCACAAAGAAATTACTCACTCAGTAATCTAGTTTTAACTAGCTGGTTATATTAAAAACGTTTTCCAATATATAGGCTCTCATTAACACAAACTTTCCTGATACAAGGATGAAATGTGCTAACAAAATAAGCCTTTTCCTGCATATTAAAGCAGTACCTGCTCAAAATATAAAGCGAGAATATCTCGTCAACTTTGAGTACTTCATCACATATCAAAAAGCCCCCAATCATCACCCCTTACCCCCGGGAGGACCCCCACAATGTATGTTTTGCTTTTATTGTAATACTTTTCTCAGAAGTTTTATTCCTCTTCACCTTTTGTCTGGCCCAGGCAATCATGAACAAATAGCGCCATGGTGATGTCCCCTTAGGGCCATTCATTTATAGCAACCAGTCTTCTGGGTTGAATGATGCTGAGTAACATTCAATTTAAAGGACATCTAGTGGCGAAAAAGAACTACAGGGGAAACAGAATGTAAGTACTGCTTTCATATTTTTATAGCTTGCCTGGGGGCCAACTTAAAATTTCCAAAAGATGCCAGTAGGTGGGCTTTAAATAGATGACAGACAGAGAGCTTTTAAAACACTGAAACAATTTGCTTTACTCTTACCTCGTTACCTAGTAGAGCAGATACACAAGATTCAGAAGCATCACAAATTGCTGTCAAGTCATGACCTCCTTCAAGTGCCAGAATAATACGACCTCCAGCCAACCCCATAAGCTGCTTTGTCAGATATCCAAAACCTTAGGAAAATAAAACAAGAGCTCTAAAAGGTTGTCATGGTGAGTAATCTAAATTCTGGGCAAAAATAAAAATCGCAACCAGATTCCTTGTTTTATTTTGAAAAAGAAAACCAAAAAATAAAAACAGCCCCTTTGTCTTTTAATCCACAATGTAATGTAAATCAAGTGAGAACCAGCTAGAATGATGAAATCACAACAGATATTGCACTCCACCTTATAAGCCCTATGGAGCTAGGTTTGTCTAATACACGGCGCATCTATAAATCTAATGCAACATTTTCTGCAGTCCTCGTAAAGCAGTGGTGGTCAACTAAGTTGATATAGGGTGCTTCAAGTGCAGCCCCAGACATTACCAAAGGGTCACACATATTATTCAATAAATGTTTTGCTACACAGTAAGTGATCAGAGGCTGCAGACATGCAACAGGAGATTGTCAGAGATTGCAGATATGCTATAGAGTTATTGGAGACTACAATGTGATTCAGGAGACAGTCAGGCTGTAGACACGTTACATGAGACTGCAAGAGACCACAGCTATTACATCCCCTTTACAAGTCAATGGTTTCATATTTATGCTCCCTACAATGCTCCTGAAAATGACTTATGCTCCACTTGATATTCCTCTCAGCATGATCTATTATATCAGAAAATAAAACATACGAATAGAAAAGGGATGGACAGCACAGGAAAGAAATAAGACAGTGTGAATGAAATAAGCCAAACCATCAAACTACTAGAAGCCAGCCTAAAGAATATGCTTCCTTCACTGGCTTGAAAAGACACCAAAACAGATCACTATGTGCAGCAGCCCCCCGATCACAACATAGTAAGCGCAATGGGTTAGGGTTGGAAAGAATCCAATACATGATCCAGTATTCTCTTTTCTTTCTTTAAAGTAGTATTAAACGCTCAAACATTTTTCAATAATGAATCCAGAAACTGTCCTGTCCTTTTGTGATCTTGTATTGGGAACTTCCAGTCCCAATACAAGATCACAAAAGGACAGGACAGTTTCCAGCATCTGTATCTACTAGCTTGGAGGAGGGAGCAGGGAGGAAGGAGTGGGGAGCAGGGCGGAGGAGAGTGGCTTGCCTTGCTGTGCCTGTGTGTTTGTGGAGACACACACTGCTTACTATCACACACAAGGGTGACTACATAGCACTCTGCTTGAGAAAGTAATCACTCTCAAACAGGAAGCCAGGACATGTAGTCAGGAGATCAGCTGATTCTGCAGGAAACTAAAACTTTCAAACAACAAGTAGCAGCATCCATTGTAAGATATTTCATCAGCATTTGAAATAGTAAAGTCACAAGGATTTTAAGCTATCACTTTAATGTTATACTTCGAATTCTCACCATATGCTCCTAAAAAATGAAGATACATGTGTCTGGTTTCAAGGCCATGTCTGAATATATGCTTCAAAATCACGTAGCAATTTCACACTTCCGCAGAGCAGGCAAAGAACATGGAAATAGGCTTGCATTTAAAGCCTGTAATATGAGAAATACACTAGCTGTCAGTGCTGATCCCACTCTAAAAATGCTAGTTGCCTTGTTGTCAAGCAGATTCTCTACCCTCACTAAGCGGAGTTACAGTGGGATACCAGAGGCGTCGCTGAATTTAATTATATATTCAACAGAAACCTGCATATGGTTAGCTTTTATCACTGCATTTTTTGTGCATGATGTTTTATGGATTAATAAAAAAAATTCCAACAAATAAAAGGTTACAAGTAAAAGACACCCTTAAAAGGGGGGGAAAAAAAAAGAAGGTTTAAAATTAGTGATGTAAGATTGTCACCAGGAAAAGGGGAATTTGGACAATGTAGTCTACTTAAATAAAATGTCTTGTCCACTCTGCTACAGTCAGTAAAATGTTTGAAATGTTATATTTTTAGCTGAAAAATGGATGTTAGTCACTTACAGCCAAACAGCTTATTACCCATTAGTGACCAGTAATGTTGGAACTATTTTGGGCCAAAAGGTTTTTCAATTTTTACTGATTCAGAGGAAGATGTTGAAAAAGTACAGTATGTTTGTGTATATCATTAAAATCTTTGTTGGGGCCTGTGTTAGGGCCCTGTCATGCCATATCCAGTGCATTCCGGCACGGTTCCAGCCCGGAACGCACTTGATCGCATAGATCAACCCAGGCCGCGTTCTGGGGCGGGAGGGGGCATGGCGGTGCCATTCATGTCAATGGCACTGCAGACACGTCCGCACTGCAATCGCCCGCACCGGAACTCGAGGTACAGGTATGCCCTCCATTATGGTGCAGCGCGATTGGAAAAAATTAGTGCATGCAGCATTTTTGTCAGATCGCACTGCATAGGAAAATAGGGCAGCCCTGTGCGGGCAATCGCACTGCAGGCATGGGGTGTGCCTGTGGTGACATTCACATGAATGGGACCCCCATGCCCTCTCCCGCCCTAGAACACGGCCCGGCTTGATCTATGCATCCAGTGCGTTCCAGGCTCGAACCCCACTGGATATGATGTGACAGGGCCCTAAATGGGGAGGGGTTATTTATTTTTATTTCCCCCCCTGTGGACTCAAATCGCTATTGGAACAAATGCTTAGGCTGAAATTTTGGCCGCACTATGTAGAATATCATACCACAGCTAATTTTAGACTGGAGCCAATTAACTTAACAGCATGTCTTTGGACTGTGGGGGAAACTGGAGGGCAGAAGTGCTAACCACTACTGCTGCCTAGTGCTGTACTAGGCTCTACTCTTCAGTATTTCACAGATTGCAACAGTATACAATGCACTGCATATCCACCGCAGGCACCGTAAATTAAATATATGTGCTAGCAAAGAGGGAAAGGAGTTTTTTTGACAGGACATGCAGTTTTGCATGCCACTTTCCCTATTATCAATGTTTGGGGCCCTCTAAGTGGTTAATAACTGCTTTTATGTTATGTAAACTTGCTTTATCATAAACATACACTATGCCAAGTATTTGTACTTACATTTGGCCGATACCTGGTACCCTCCTAGAGGAGAGGCATGTCCTTCCACAGCATCAAACCCTGCAGACACCAAGATAACATCTGGAGAAAATTCACGAGCTATTGGCAACACCACAGTCCTAGGAGGAGCAGAAACAATACATTTATCATGCTAGTACTAATTTAATTAAACATATTTCATTAAATATATCAGAAACCAGAAGTAGAAGGAGACAACAAACTGATAAAAATTTTAAAAAGTTGGGCATCTCTACAGATGTAGGGAAGCAATTCAACAAATGACATACATACTTACCCATATGTGTATTACCTATGGGCATGCAACACCTCAACTGTGAATTAAAATGAACATGCTGTCTGTAGACGCAATATGTGATATCCTAGGTTTTAACCTTATGGCTTATTCACATGGGTGCCAGAATAAAATGTTTTGTACTCATCTGTATTCAGCAGTATAAAAGTCTATGGGCCCATTCACACAACCGTGTCTAACAGCATAAAGCAGCATTCAGCAGTGTAAAAAAAAAAAAGTCGTACCCGGGGGCCATAACTTACAAATTTTTCACACTTGTACGCAATGCAAACATTAATATGCGTACACCATATATGGAACCTATTGGCTACTGCTGCGAAATATTCTGTAGCCGATTACACACTAATGTTGACATGTTGGCCTTGAACGAGTATTTCACACTACAAGGATGGCACATGGCAGAATGTCCTTAGGTGATTAGGAACGGCTAACAGTGGAGGTCATTCTGCATATGCGTTGCCACCACATGACTGTACCTATGTATATGTTACATGCATACAAACAATTTTTATGCATGTTCTTGCTGTCAGCAAGATCCTGAATAAAGTGAATATAGCCTTGTGAATAAGTAAAACACTAAATATATAGCCCTGTACCAAGCTCATTATTTACGCAGAATAGATTCCATTGGTATAGTTGTTTTCAAGGTGCAGGCTCTTGGGCTGTTCTACTTATCCTTTTTTCACTGCTTCATTCTATCGCAAGTATTTATAAGTCTCTTGACACCCCTTAAATGCTCATAACTGCTCCAGAACACCAAATGATAAAAGCAACTCTGTTACTGCATTACAAATTATAAATGTAAACAATACAAAGAAGATTGTTAACACAAACCTCTCCTGCCATCCGTACGACAGATCTCTGTTTTATTAAAGACGAAGCATGCAGAATCTTCAAAATGTGACACTGCTAGATTTGTTAGATTTCTGGTGCCCCAATGCACTCAGTGGTTTCTCCTACAACTCCCCATATCACTACAGGACACAGTGGTGATGTACACGCCAGAGGATTTAACCACTGCATGGTACTAGGAATCCGACACTCTCAGAAGTGTTGGATTCTGAAGATTCCAAGCAGTGGTTTGTCTTCAATAAAATATGCATAAAAATGAAGAAAATAAATCTTGCTACTTTTTATTTTACCTGAATGCAGCCAAGTACTCTGCATCCCCCATAGGCGGGTCCAGTCCTCCAGTAAAAGCCACATTCACATTAAAACCCGCACCAGCACTGCTTCCAATCTGCAAGGGGGCAAAAAAATGAAAAAAAAAAAATTATAACTTGCATGTGCATCTGGTGAATTCTGTTTAAGTACTCCTTGGTGTTTGTACATTTACATAGATGCTCTCTGTGTTAGCAGTGCATTAAAAACATGATTTTGTACTTAAAAATACTTATTCACATCTGTGTTTGGTAGATTGTTTGCCATCACAAATCGTGTGGTGAATTTAAAGTTGAACTATTTTTGCAAACTGAAGAAACAATTTTTGTGAATTTAGGGGTCTGAAATATGACTGACCTAGAAGCTAGTGAAAGACGGAAGCTGCAGCAGTCTTTGAGAACGTGATCTACAAGGGTGATTTTGGACTGTGGTCTTAATGTCACAGAAAAAAACTAGCTTGAGAACAAAATTAATGTTTATAGGCCATAAAGGAGGCCCCTGACTTGTGTCTACCATTTTAAGACCTGTGTGTCTGCGCCAGTCCAGCGCTGGCTCACATAGGTAGCAAAACCTTGAACCATTTGATCTACTATATAAAATCAGACCAGGAAGTACTGGTTGCCTGGTCAGATGTTTTGTTAGTCAGGCCCATTCCAACATGGTCTAAAAAGAGGTCTCAAAAAACCTAAAATGGTGTACAAAGAATGAGTCACCGATTACATCTTTCGGTCAGTGTGTCCCTTAAAGGACTGCAGCTTTTGTGATAGAAATGAAAATTGCTTTATTTAATACAGAAATTCAAGGGTCCGCAGTAGATGGGATAGGCCATTTCTGCGCAAATGACTCTGCAAAGTAGTAACAGAAAATACATTTAGGCAAAACAAGAGTCGTGCAAGGGTTTTTTTTGTGTTTGGTTTTTTTTAATGCCTTGTAGACAAACTCGGTGTAAAAGAAAAAACCTTTTCTTTAAAAATAAATAAATAATAATTTAACTGTGGCAGCGCATGGCAAAGCATTGCGATACCTTGTGTTGTAATTAAATATACGCCTGTATCATTTTATCACAACACAAGCATCAACACAGCGCAAAAACGATTTTTAACATAAGTCGCTTATTTACAGTTTTGCGTTCCTTCATTTTTTTACCTTTTCGCAAAAAGGCACAATTTAACATTTTAAAATCTTTCTTATTTATTAACTCAATACAGTTTTATATTTTAGATTTAGTCCCCAAAAATGTTTTTGTGCACTGATACAATTTTTGTGCTTTATCAACTGAATTGTGTATTTTTATCGGTTTTATGTTAATTTTAGAAACATTTGCGCAATTATCGCAGGGCCTACAAATTTAGTGGCACCATCTTTTTATTCTACCGGGCCTGTGCTTTCAGAAAATATATGGTTTGGGGGGTCTCTTACAAACGCCAGCAACGCAGCAGTAGAAAATCAAAACAATGGGAAAAATTGCAGAAATGGCGTGGCCAGCTGAGGTGCAAAATGTTCTGGAGGGCTTGGCAGCAAAAGGGTTAAATATTACAAAATAGAGTCTATTTATAAATGTTTCACCCCAGATTCACATGTTCCAATTTAACCCTCCCCCACATCCAACGCTTTAAATGGCAAATCAGCCCTCACTTGCAGGATACATGTCCACAACCTATTACATAAATTACTGCTGGAAATTAGAGGAACTTTTATTTATTGAAAAAGTACCTCATCAGGAGCCCCACTTCCTGGGAAGAAGTTTCCATCATCATAGCGATGGACTGATATATAAAGGACAGAAGGATCACTATAGAAAGCCTGCTGGGTACCATTTCCATGATGCACATCCTAGAATAGAAAAGTTGAAAAAAAAGATGCAAGTTATAATGCAAGTCACAATTGTGCATAGCTGATATATGAAAATTGTTGGGCCTGAACTCAAAGCCTAACTCTGGGCTTCATGGTCCACCTGCATGTGACACCCCCTCCCCTCAACCTAAGAGGCTCTCTTGGTCCATATGTTTTTTTAATAGGATTTTTAGTAAAATCCTTATTCTCAAGGTACACTGCATTCTTGAATCACTGAAATCCCGCGATCGTACGAGAATCGTGCAGTGTGTGGAAGGCTTGCGACCGTTTCTACTGTCCGGTCGCACGTCTTCCGTCGAACCAGCATGCTAGAAAACCCGCCGGGAATCGTACGATTCTCGGCGAGTTAGTTGCCTGCTGGTTCGACAACTGCCGAACGGGCCGCGCACACTGCCCGTTTGCAGTCATCGTAACCCCTGCCCCTCATTACAGTCATCGTAAGCCCGCCCCTCAAGGGGGCGGGCTTGCGATGACCGCAAGTACGATCTGCCTGTCCAAGATGGGCAGATCGTACGTTTTTTTAAGTACTTTACAACCATCGCAAGACTAAGGTCTTGCGATGGTTGTAAAGTGTATGGCCACCTTTAGACTCTCAGGTTATACTGACACCTACAGGAGAAATGGAGACTTGCAACAAAAAAGCAGTACAGAGGGCATGAATCGGTATCCCAGAATGGACTCCAAGAAAAGGATTTTTACGGCGAGTACAATTATCCTATCCTATTTTCTTTATCCACCACTGAGGGACACAGGAATTGACTGTTAGCCTCCTGAAGAACCAAAAAACGAAAACTGGGATCAGATCGGGCCTAGGTATCCGCTTGGTACAACATAAGAAACAGAAGACCAGGTGGTATTCTTGCAAACTGGGAAAAGGTGCCAAGAAGTAAATAAAGTTGCATGACTGCCAAAGAACTGTAGATGTCATAGATTGCTCCTTGACAGAAAAGGGTGGAACCCAATCCTTAAGAACATAAAACGGGAAGATGGTCACCTGATACACCAAAAGATGTTGGACAAAGAAGCTGGGCTACCCTTTTGGGGGGCCCATCCAAAATTAATCAGTCCACCTAAAGAAGCAGTAGCTGAGACAGAATCTTACAGTCCAAAAACATCCTGAAATGTCTATTTTTGGTCAACAGGAGCCAGATAGAGGGATGGGCGAATGTTCTGGTTGAAGTGAAAAGCAGAACTACCTTAGGCAAGAAGGAAATCCTGACTGAGGTTTCTCCTGTGGAAGAAGCAATACTGTCCGTGCTGTGTTCAGGAACAGACTTCGGTATTACCAATAAGTCGATTCCAGTGATGATTACTGAAAGATTAGGATCCATCAGAAGCATTGTAATGTACAGAGCCTACGTTGGTTTTAAGGAACAGGAGGTCGTCTAATAGGTTGTCTAACTATCCCACAATGGAGATGCCAAGACAAAGCAACACGGTTAATACTGGGTCAGCACTATTGACATCCAGCATGCATATGTTGGATGCAGCAGCAATAATGTAAATGACCCCCGAGACAGAGATGGGCCTCAACTGAGACAAGAAACTCTTCATAAGTAAAATCCCCATTCACACTAGTTTTGGCAAAATACTAGATAAATAGAATGTGGGAGGTGTAACTCTAACACAATGCATACAGTTCACTGTAATGTCAGTTCCTAACAATCCCGTAGTCCAGATACAGTGGAAACTCCTATATGCCCATCACAAATGAGTGTCAGCTCTAGAGCCAGCTACCTGTGGGACTATGCAGTAACAGGAACTATTTGGAAAGGGGAGGAAGCTTATTTGTCCCTATGCTCATCTGTTGGTTATCAGCTCCTGAGACGCCCATCAAGGTTGTGTATAGATTATGCAGGGTCTGGAGGATAGCCACAGCCTGTAGGTTCCCACAGATCTTGGTCACCACTGCATAGAGTAATAGCTCTTGAAACTAGCAACATGTGTGACCTTTAAAGGAGTCTGAATGTTAACTGTGAGACTAATAAACTAGTGACAGTTTACAGACATCTGTATATCTTTAATGCCAGCCTCCTGCAAGCGATAAGAGCAGTCAGTCCATTGCTGGCTCCTACAGCTTCTGGATCAGTTGGGCACTAAAAAAGTTACACCGAGTATAGAACAAGGAGGCTGTGTACAGTGCCCCCCCCGCCCAGACTCTCTCCCTAGAGTGCAGAGCCACGTGCTAAGGATCCAGTGGGCCCTGTGAATGTGGAGAACTGCAGGCTGTCATGCTTGTGTACAATAGCAGACATGAATAGGATAAGGCTACTTCTTCCTCAGCACCCCTGCTTAATTGAGGGGAACTAGGCTTGTGTTTACGCCTCCTGGCAGGCTGCTTTGGGAGCAGTGCCAAGCTAAACTTACCTGACCTGAATTAGGCTGTATACTGTGTGGGTGTCTCTGGGAGCCAAACGGGTGACATTTACAGTGTCCTGGCTCAAAAGTAAACTGTCAGGTTTGTGCAAGCACACAGGAACCCCATGTAAACTTACACATGCACAAATGCTAGGTAGCTGGGTCACAGTCCCTGCTGAAGACAAAATGTCAGAAAATTTAAAAGTAGCAGCCTTAAGCTTAACGGGGCTCAGAAACCTGAACGGCAGCAACTGGCCATAGATGTAAATAAAGCAGCTACAAATCTGCCTGGGGGGAGGGGGCGACGACGGACGGACAGTAGGCGTTATACTGAAAAACTCCTCCCTCCCTCAACCGTGACGCCACTGAACCCACTACCAGAACAGTGGTGGAACAAAAATAGTAATAGCAGCTGCAGAATGACAAGCAGTGCTCAGCTACTCCACAAGACACACAAAAGAACTCTAGGAGAAAAAAACCCAAAAACCAACATGGTTCCCCCCCACTTGACACTGCAAGAAATAGCACATCTCTGAGGATAAGCAAACAGAGACCAGGACAGGTGAAGCACAGCTCTAACCTGGAATAACATTGTCTGCAAATCCCTAGAATTCTGGCCTGACATGTAGCAAAATCCTGTGAAATTGAATACAGATCTGGTTGTACATACTCACTCGTATGCCATGGCCCTGGTCTCAATGTTAAACATGCATAAAACAAAAAAAAACAAAAAACTGGAAGCCTGCGCCCAGTGGACTGAAAGAAACCTCTAAGAGTTACTATATTTGCCATGACCCTACCAGTACTCATTGGCTGACTGGAGAGACTGCCAGGATTTAAAATATCCAGCTGTTAATACTAGAGAAAGGTAACCTACTAAAGAAAACATGCCCATTCTCCTGTGGACACTAGCAAAAACCTTATGCATGATGATTGTAGGCAGGGCTATCCTGTGCTGGCCAACTGCTCTTTGTTATGTCCATTTCTCTTGTAGTCGATAGAACAACGTGACAGTCTGAGGATTCTAAGAATTTCTGTATCCCTCAATGGATGATAAAAAAAATATATACTTGCCCTTTTCCCATGTGTTCTGTCTGGTCATGTGACGAAAAAGGTCACCAGCACTCAAAAGGTTATAAAAATGAATAAGTCCTTTTTATTGGACCATGGCGTGACACCATGGTCCAATAAAAAGGACTTATTCATTTTTATAACCTTTTGAGTGCTGGTGACCTTTTTCGTCAACTGTTCGTTTTGCACGGTGCCATCCGTGGAGTTACTGCAAGCACCATCCCTGTGTACTGGCCGGGATTGCTGAAAGGTGTGCGGAGAGCACCCTCACCCTACTGCAACTGTCTGGTCATGTGACACGCATGGTCCACGTCATCTCATGATCTGGTCCAGCGGTGAGCAGTTCTCAGGGATACAGATACACACGTGATGGCATAAGCGCTGCTCTCTGCATCACTATACTATCAATGAAGGGCGCAATGGTGATTCTCTCTCCCACCCCCATGGCAGGGCCATGACACCCTGTGTTCCTAGTATATCTTCAGTCTTCCAGGCTAAATGACACAGGGAGCCATTCAACCTGAAAGACTGAAGGCATCTTGTGGCAGAAAAAGAAGTAGTGCAGGGGATAGTTTTGGGATTGATTACCTAAGCTCATTTTTTTATTTTGTTCACTCTCTGTAGGTTCATTTATTGAAAAATAAAATGCCCAGAGTTGGCTTTAACATTGCTTTCCACAAGTAATATCCACATACCCAATCCACTATCAATGTCTTCTCCACGTTAAATCTTTGTTGAAGGAGCTTTGCTGTAACTGCGACAGAGTTGAAGTAACAGAAACCCCTAAAAAGTTAACAGGTGAATAAAACATTAATTTTATTTACTGTTGTAAAGAGCAATACTTCATAGAGTACTTAAAGTGCACCTGAACTCAAGAGTGAAGATTTGCTATGCTACTGGGGAACATCTAAAAATGTTATTTGTGCCTAAGCAGTATCAGAAACATGTACCCTTTACTCTGAATTTTAGTTGAAAAGTAACACTGCACTTCTTGGTGTGTGAGGGTACCTATGCACTCCGGTGCCTACTGCATCATAGCTGTAGGTCTGCAGTAAGATCTAAGGCACAGGCTGCTCAATTGCTAGTCTATTAAGATTTGGTTATGTCACTAGTGTGCTGCTCACCGTTTTCTTTGCTGAAGGAAGGCTGACATGAGGAAGCAAAAATATGCTACCAACATGACTGCCTCCACACAGAGACCTGCAGAAAAAGGCTTGGTAAGTCAGTAAAAGGGGAAAGATAATCTGCAAGGAGACCAGAGGCAATACTAGTGGGTAGTCTTTTGCTCTCTCCCTGCCTTTTTTTATGGGCACAACTTCCAGAGTTTAGTTCCTCAATGCCATTTGCATCTGATCTTGACCCAGTGGTGCAGAGAAGCAAACCATCAAGGACAACATAGCTGAACTGGAGAATTTTTCCAAATCTGCTATGTTGTCCTAGATTGTTCACGTCTCCTGCCTTCTCCAAATTCTTCACCCTTTTGTGATTAACCCTAATAGTCATATAGACACAAACCCCTACAGAGAACAGTGAGATCTGAACTAAACAATATGAACAATCAGAAGAACAACTGCTGAAGTTACAAGTCATATGAGGAAGACACTTACATAGGTGTGCTCTCTTCAGCATGATGACCAGGAGGGCGGACCGCAGCAAAGCCATTCTTTGTAAAGAAAAAAAAAAAAGCACAAAACATTCAACTACAATTCAAATAAGCAGATTGTAAAAAAAAGTGGCTTGTAGAAGACATAGCCATAGCTGACAAATTTATACAAACTGGAATCCAGTCCCTAAATACCAACCGGTAAAGTTCAAATGCTGTATAACTGCAAAATTGCCATTCTGAAGCTTAAATACACAATTTAAACTAATATATTATGCTTGAATGCCCAAATGACTGACTGTTGACTTTAAGCTACATTTTTATTGTTGTGTCTCTAGAGTACATAAGTTGTGCACTAATGTACATGTTGCCAAGATCATATTAGCTATTATACATACTTTAAAAGGGTCAGACACTGCTTTTCGGGTTTCTGCTACATGCTAGAGAATTTAATCACCTGGCAGTTTCACACATCATGAGCACACTGGTATTATTTCTGGCTAGACTTCCTAGGTCTGGACACCTGTCGTGACCATTACAAAGCGGTCTAACTTCTCCTCTTATTTAATATAGAGGATGCAACAGGAGGCTCGGTACACGAGCTCCCTCCGGTCCCCTCTCCTCTGCAAGAATGCGGAAGTGTTGTATAATACATCACTTCCGCATTCTTGTGTCACTCTCCAGCTTCAGAAGCTGGAAAGAAGCTGATGGAGCAGATCTGTGCTTCATCAGCTTCTTTTGGGGGGTCCTATGTGACATTAGGGGTCTTGGAGACCCCTGATGTCTCCATAAAGAGGACCTGTCACATATTTTGGTTTTATTAGCCCCCGTATGTGATAGCAATAAAGTTTAGTGGGAAAAAAAAAAAAAAAAAATTTAAGTCCCCCCCCCCAAAAAAATTTAAAGTTACACATAAAAAAGAAAAAAACAAAAAATGTTTTTAAAGTCCACACCCATACATACACGCATGCATGCAAACATGAGTCGGGGGCGCATACGTGGAAAAAAGACGATTGCGCCCATTACGCCGCACATGTTACATATCGCCGCGAACGTCCGAGTGAGAGCAATAAGTCTAGGGCCATCAATCACTGATAACACTAAACTGATGAGCGGTAAAAGCTTCTAAAGTGTCGCCTATGGCCAATTTTGGGTATGGTAGTCTTCTGCTATTTCGCGGGTGCGCGCAATTTTAAAGCTTGACATGTTTGGTGTCTATTTACGCGACGTGACCCGATCTTTTATATTTTACCAAAAAAATGGTTAATAATAAATGTTTCCTAACAATGTAAAAAATACCTTTTTTTCCCCAAAATTTTCTGTAATGTTTCCTAATTATAATAAAAAATAAAACCCCCAGTGGTGAATAAATACCACCAAAATAAAGCTCTATCTGTCCCTAAAAAATGGTATAAAATTAATTTCAGTACAGCGTTGCATGACGGAATAAACGTCAGTCAAAGTACTGCAGCGCTGGAAGGGGGTCTAAACACCTGGTCTTGAAGTGGTTAAAGGACAGGATGTAATTCAAGTACATATTATAAGGTTATGCAGCTGCCTTCAGGACGCTGGACACTGGTGAACAAAGCTGTAAAGACAGCCTAGTGTAATCCCTCCCAGTCCCATCATGTCTTAGTTGTGTAGCAAGTAAAAGAAGATCACAAGAACATAGGGGAGGGACATTTGTCTCAATATACTCCAAGAAAATAGGATTTTTGTCTTACCTGTAAAATCCTATTGTTGGTGTATATTAAGGGACACAGGAGTATTAAGGTATACTGTGCTGTGCAGCTGCCTCCAGGAGATTGGACAGTAGCAAACAGAACTGTAAGACAGCCCTATACAACTCCAACACCCCCCGTCCCCCATGTATGCCTCAGTTTTGTAGCAATCAGTAGTAGGAGTAGGAGTAGATCATAAGAACACAGGGGGTACATTAGAGGTTACAGATCAGCCCGAAGAACCTTAAGACCAAAGCTGGTATCAAAAAGGAGGCATGACCATTCACCTAGTAAAACCTAGACGAATGTCTAAACAGAAGGTGGCACCCTTGCAAAGCTAAGAAACATATCCCAAATGCTGAAATACCCAGGAATTACTAACTGATCTAATAGAGTGCGCTTTGATAGAGAAGGGTGGAACCTTGTAGGCTTGAATGATGAGCAGTTGAATACACCTGGAAGTAGTGGAACAATAAAGCAGGCTGAACACCACAGGGACCCTAAGGAATAACGGAAGGAAAAAAAAAAAAAGTTTCAGTCCGTCTAAAAGAAGCTGAGCGATAAGCACAAAGAGGACGTTCCTCAATTCAGACAGTTGAAGTAAATCTCCTTGGCATGTTGTGGAGCAGAACATAGAGATAGGATAACAATGTCCTGGTTAAAGGGCAATTCATAGAATTTGGGAAAATGGAATTGTCCCCTCTCTCCAACCCTGTCCCCACCACAGTACTTGCCTTTGGCCAAATGCTCCTTCCCCTCTGCCAGTGCACTACTCCTACTCTGTACACAACTAGAAGCGCATCTCATTGGTCAGGTGACTGCACTGACCAATGAGTGCTCGCCATTTGCAGTAAATTTAAGAAACAGAGTGCAAGCAGTACACCGGCACAGGGGAAGGAGCGTTTGGCCAAAGGTCCATACTGGAGGGGGTAATCCCATTTTAAAAAATTTGCCTGGGGAAGTGGAATAACCCTTTTAGGTGAAAGGGGGAAACCACCTCTGGAAGAAAATAGGCCCCAAGCTTCAGGACTACCTTGTCTCTGTTTAAACACAAGAAAAAGTTCCTTAAAGAGTAAGACTGCCTACACAGAGACAAACTTTGCTGAGGTGATGGCAATGAGAAAGGCAACCTTGCAAGTCAGAGTCGACAGCGGAATATCCACGATAGGCACAAAGAGGGGTTTCTGGAGAACAGACAGAACAAAACTGAGATCCCACAGAGTCACTGAGGAAGGCACAAGTATAACAATGGACTAGAGACCCTATTTGAACGCCTTCACTAAGAAGTGAGAGGCAAGCGGTCTTTGAGAAAGAATTACTAGGTCAAATATTTGACCCTTGATGGTACTCGAGGTCAAATATTGATCCAGACCAAACTTGAGTAAAGACCGTATTGTATCCGGACAATCTGGGGGGGCCCATGAAGAATCTGCTAGGAGTCTTATGAGATTAGAATACCACATCTGCCTGGGCATTTTAGGCACAATGAGAATCACCAGAATATCCTCCCATCTCAATCTAGCAGGGGAAAGTTTTTTTTTGGGGTGTGTACAAATGGACAAGGCTGAATTTCGCATTTCCACCAAGGCCAGAATTGGATCCGCTTCTCTTTGGGCTTCAAAACTTCTGGTTCCTCTCTGGTGGTTAATGTAAGCCACTGCTGTGGCATGAACCAACTGAATACTAAATAGGTGACCGTGCAAATGAGAGGTCCAGGGTTGAAGGAATAAGCATATCGCTTTGAGCTTCAGATTGTTGATCAGGAGACAAGCTTCTACCAGTGACCAAGTACCTTGCACTGAGAAAAGGTTCCAGGACTCCTCCGCAGCCTGACAGGATGGCATTCGTTGTTTGAATCTTCCAGACTAGAGGGAGTAAGGCTTTTCCCAAAATCTATGGATGGACTTGTCACCTACAAGGCCAGGCAAGCCTGGTTTTGGGGTTTATGTGCATGTGATGGTCCAGAAACTAGGCTTTCCGGTTCCACAAAGCCAGAATGTTGAGTTGCCATGGTTTTGAGTGAAAGTGGGCATTTGGAACAGCCTCGATGGAGACCACCATTTGTCCAGACCCCACAAGCAAAAGCAAGGGTTGGTTCTAGTACTGAAGTGCTCGAACATGGAAGTAGAGAGTTTTGAGCTTTTCCTGTGGAATAAAGACACTGGACAGGGAAAAATCCAATAGAAGGCCTAGATACTCCTAGCGATGAGTTGGTTCTAGCGCTGACTTTTGTTCAACATTGACTGATCAAGTTTGTACCAACTGTTCCTTTAGTAGGAGGTCACCCAAATATACCATCCTACTATGAGAATACCCCGAGAGCAATGTAGAGCAAATACAGGGGGGCTAGCATCTTGATGACGCCAATAGACTATAGGTAAGGGCAACAAATTGGTGATACTGAGTGCCCAATGAAAAATGCCAGAAGTGTTGATGCACTGGAAAGGTGGAGAAATGTAAGTAGGCATCTTTGTTGAGCACAGAGGGCAAGAAAGTCCCCCAGATGGAGGGAAGCAATGGCTGACCTGCTATTTTCCATGCAGAATTTTTTTTACACAAAAAGGAAGGTGTGGAGAACCTTTAAGGCCTAGGGTAAGGAAATGTCTCTAACTGGGAAGTGTGAACAATTTTGCATAAAAACCTTAGAATCTGTCATTTAAAGGACAATAGCTATGATCCATAGACAGAGGAGCTGTGAGAAGGTCCGCAAGTCTTTGAGGGGACGTTGGAAGGCTTGACAACATAGGCAGAGCGGAGGCAGAGCTTGAAATTCAAGCTTGTAATACCTGTAAACCACGTTCTAGTTAAAAACATCAGAAAATATGTAATGGGACCAGGTGGCTGCAAAGTCCAACAGATGTCCCTCCACTTGTCAGAAAGGCGCCACCTTATTGCAAGGAGGACTTGCTCAACAGTTTGGAGGACTTGGGAGTTCAGGACATATGGCAGAATGGATTTCCAGGTTTGGTCTTATATTTGGAGGTCTGGGAGAAACTAAAGGAATTAGTCTTAGCCTTTGAGGTAGAGGGTTTCCCAAACTGAAGCTTAGGATTTTTTTTGCTGGGATAATACGATGCTCATGCCCCCAATAATGTCCTTAATGAATGTGTCTAGGGATTCGAACAAGAGGTGCTTCCCCTCAAAGGGCATATGAAATGTGCTTTTTGCACGGCTGTTCCCTTGCAAGAGTGCACGGGAAACATTATTTTTACCAGATTGAATGTAGGGAAATCAGGCTGGTAAGCTTATATGTGGCACGCTCTTGCTGTTCTAGGTCTAAGCACGTGCGCACAGTATCTATATAGACAGAATTGGTATCCTTAAAGTGACATTAAACCCTCAGATTTTTTAACATAAACCAATATTGTAATGTGTGCCTTACTGTAATCCATGGTTGTTTCCCTTCTCTTTGCTGCTCTTACTTTTAAATCTGTATCTGTTCTCATGCTGGGCAGAACTTCTGTTTTGCAGCAGACTGCCTTGTCTCTGAAATGGATACATGGTGTCTGTGTGTAAGTTTGCAACCTGAGCCAGCACTACAGGAAGAGGCAGTCAGCTGCAAAGGGAAGTTCTCCCCAAGCATGAGAAGACATGAGGATTTAAAAAGAGCAGCAAAGAGAAAGGAAACTACCATGGATTACAGTAAGGCACACATTACAGTATTGGTTTATGTTAAAAAATCTGAGGGTTTAATGCCACTTTAAGTGTTGGAGTTGTCAGCAGACAGACCTCTCATGTACCAAGCCATCAAACTTAGATATGGTACATTCCTTATCCTCAGCTGACCATGCAGAAATGGACTCTAGAGCAGACTTAGCACAGCAGTGACCTTAGAACTTCTTACAATCCACAACAGGGGAATGGAGAGAACAGGCAGAATTCAAGGGGACATGCCCCATCCAAGCAGTTGTCCCCCCTTTAGTTGGACATGCACCCTAAGAAGTCTTCAGGGACAAGGTTTCATCAGACTTGTGCAGTCTGACAGCCCCGGACCTGTAAAGCAACTTAGATGCTATACCAAGAGTGCCTAAGAGTGTGCCTGCAGCAAAGTACAGGGCACATAGGACTTTTTATATGCCAGCCCCACTTCTTCCTTACAGTGGGGTCTGGTATGGCCTCCAAAGCTATGCAAAGGACCAGACAATCTAAAAAACTGCAAGGTGAGCTCCAGTGCTTCTTAAGCAACTGAAGAATCTTGCTAGAAGGAAACGTGTCTTGATACAAGCAGAAAGGAGAAAAATTGGTTTTCTTCTCTCGAAGAGATAATACGTCCGTTCTCCTAGGATACTAGCACAAAACGCAAGCATGATAGATGTGAGAGGGTTTGTACTAGGCTGTCCCTACAGGTTTGTTTACCAGTGTCCAAAACATGCATCGGGTATTCCCCTCTGAATTTGACCCAAATGGTGCACATGTTGCAGTAAAAAGCAGCCTAAATTATAATACCCATTTGCAAGGTATGGGGTCTTTATTAGGGTTTTGAATATAACGCTGTGTGGTATGGATATATGGGAAATTAGAATCTGAAGTACACATCTGTACACATTTCATAGCAGCTAAAAACATTTTTTTTTATTTAAATGAACAGACTACTTTATTCACTTTGTTAAGTAATAAAACATGCAACACTTAATTTTGAAAACACAATCTCTAAAACCCCTTCCATAACTGGAAATACTGATTATTCCACCTGAAAGACTTCTTTGTGGCAACCATACAACACATTACAGTGCTGACAGAATGTGGAGAGAACCTTATAGGACAAGAGATTGTCCACTGAGGAAAACTGATTTGATTCTGAATATTCAGAATTTCACTGTATCTGAACTTTAAATAAACTAGAAAACATACAGTAATAAAAAAAGGCATTTTTACATGATGATTCTTTAGGGTGTGGTGCATTAGGGATTATGCTTCTTTCTGTTCTCAAACACATACCTTTAACCCCCCTGCCACAACCTTTGAGGCAAGTTCCACCACACACCCCACTGCTAGACGGGCAGCTCCAGAAGAATGAACTTCATTCCAGATTGTATCACTGTCAACCTAGCACAAAAGAGAGACTCATTAGGTATTGGTTTTCAGAAATAAGCAAAAGAAAACCAAAACTTTTTTTTTTTTTTTATAAACAAAACGTGCATTTGCTGCATACAGGGATGCAGATACTGTACATCTCACTGAAAATTACAATATACATATATTAATTTCCGTTTTTAGATTTTTCATACACAATATCCAGTTATGTGCCTGCCATAACTTGAATGTTAAAATCCTCCATAGAAAGTGCCAGAGAAGCAGTAACACTGTGAACACTCACCCCAACCCCGCCACATGGGAGACGAACGAACATGGAGGTCAAAGATCCTGCATGAGGAAAGGGGAATTGTTAGTGGAGAGCGTTAGTTGCATCAGCACAAATAAGGGCCTAATACACAAACAGCATTATGAAGTCAGCAATACACCACCACACTAATGACTATACAGAAAATAGTCCAATTCTCAACAATTCAAACAATAATGTTCAAATGCAGTTTGGGTTTTTTTTTTTACGGGGTTTGGAAATACAAAAACATTTGACATGAAAAAAAGTTTGAATATTCACTTGCATTCCATACACACAAAGACAAAGTCAAAGCTTTTGTATCATATGCACGCAAAAGGCTGAAAAAGGCTCCAGTGTTTGGGATTTCAGCACAAAACACAAACATAGCTTTGACACAACTTACCCTCCAGTTTTTGTCGATTCAAAGGGTTGGTGCCATAGAGCAGAGCATGAGCTTCAGAATGGACAGTCTGCAACTCCTCCAAAGTGGCTTTTCTGCCACGTATACACTGCAATTGATATAGGGTACATAGTTTAATAGAATCAAGGGATATAACTGGCATGTAGCCCTACATTAAATAAGTCATTACAGCTACATGGAGGAAAAAAAAAAAGAAAAAAAGGTGAAGGCACAATCTGCAGAAATGAGAAGCTAAAATAGGAACTGGACTATGAAAGATTTGAAAGCATGATTTGCCAGTTCCACAAAATCTACCATCAAGTATACAGCAGTTGTCCAAGGTCCTGAAATGTTTTATTTGATGTTTAGTGGCGCTTTAAACACTATTGTTATGCTTGTTGATAAATCTTTCTGTATACTATCAGTTACATGCTCACCTCACACATGCTTCTTAAACCAGTCTCTTGCAACCTGGACCAGATGCTCTGAATTCGGCCAGCATGCTCTGGATGGATATTTGTGTTTCCACAGATACACTGATGTTTAAGCATCAAGGTGTCATACACAAGACCTGCAATGAATTCAAGGTTATAGTCACAAGCAGCATTTAGGTTGACATTATAATGCATAATAAACCAATTTCACAAGAGTACCTGTAGTGAACCTGGGCTTAGTGGGAGTTTCCTGAACGGACATGGGAAAAGAGGCAGAGGCTGGTGAAGACTGTGCCCTGGATAGCGGCCTGTGCCCACTAAAAGGTATTATTAATCCAGCAGCTTCCATGGAGGCCTGATAATTCCTCAGCTGATGAATTCGCTGCTGTTCAAGTAGTAGTGTTTGCTGTGGATAATAAGGATATAAACCCTAGTTGTCTTTTGTTTGGCGCTTTCAGTAAACAAAATAAAGAATAATAAGCAAAGTGTAATACCTGTCTGAACAACAGATCCTGGTCAGTGTGTAATGTATTCTGCTCTAGCTCATGTGTATTTGATTCATCCTCACTCTCTTCCCTCTCCTGCTTTACATGCACAATACTGCAAAGGCTTTGCTCCTTTTGCTCGGATGCATGTTCTACATTATATGGCTCTTCATGTAATGCTTGGTGTTCACGGAGCTCTTCCTCGGTCTCCTCGGGGTGGCTTTCATGTTGTCGTGAAACCTCATTTACTTTAGGAATCATCTAAAAATAAGATACAAAATGACAAAGTGAATAACGCAAAGAAGGATTAAAAAAACCCAAACAAGAAAACATGCAAACAGGAGAGAGAAGATGTCAACTTAAGTCACTTAAATACCAAGTGTGAAATGATCTGCTATTTGACATAATAAAGGACTTTGGCGACAGGTAAGTCGCCAGGATCGCTTCTGTTGTAAAGCCGACAGTCGGCTCTACAAGTTTAAACAGAGTCCCGGCGGCAAAAGTCGTGTGTCAAAAGTCGTGTTTGTTTAAACAGCCACGATGCTGGCGACGTACACTGTACGTCGTCAGTCACGAAGGGGTTAAAAGGCCTAATTCACACAGCTTTACACAAGAAAAAAGATCTTTACTTTGAGCCATGTAACCATATTTCTCAAATTTCTCTGGCCTCTGCTGTCCCTTTTTTAAAATATAGATCCTTTTCTTGGTTTGTTAGCTTTGTGAATTGAGCAAAACTCTTAATTTGGCCCATTGGCAGCTAGCCTTCAGTAGTGCAGGCCCCATTGTGCAAAAGCGGGCCAAGTTGTCTAATGGCTTTCTAAATCTCTTGAGGATTTCATTGGTATAAAATTGCAAGGTAGTTTCTAGTTAGGTCTCCGCCAAACTCAGGGTCCCACTACCTCTGCTCCAAAATGGATTTTCGCATTTTGCATTCATAAGATGGAGTGTCCCTATCCCCCAACCTACCTACATTTGAGCTGTGGAGACAAATATTTAATGTAGTTATCCACCAAGAACAGTATGCAGGCATAAAGACTATCCAGAGAAATTTAAAGTGTGTTGGGAAAACTGGTTGACAACCCCAGGCCTTGCTATTTATTCTGTTGGGTCCTAGGTTCCTGCATCAGTGTCGGCTGGGCTACTCCAGTTTTGATAAATTCCCCTTACAGTATTTCAACATTGAAGTCAGGATTTGCCATTCTAAAATATTAAATTATGTTCTTCTCCTCTGTTTTAACCACTATGGATCGGATTTATTTTTTAATGAACATTATGCCGCATGAACCAAAAGGTTTTTAAAATTGAAATCTAAGGTCCTGTTTGCAATTAAATATCTTAACAGAATTTTCAATTTGTTTCTTTTTTTTAATATGGTGAGATACGTTAAACCAAAACCAGAAATGACTGCAGCACTTGAGTTGTAGAGTGTAATCCCAGTCAGGAATAACTCCAGAAATACCTAAAAGCTTGCACCATTTTTGTGAAATAATTTAACAAAAGAAGGCAGAAATTGCAGAAATCCAATATGCACAAGGGAGCTGGACACTCACCTTATTAAGATGTATCTGCTGCTGTTGAAACTGCTGTTTGTGCTTTTCGAGGAACTGCTGGTGCTGCTGCTGGATGACCATGTGTTGCAGGGCATGAGAGTTCTGAGGCAGAGGTGCAGACTGTGTTCGGCCCAATGGGCGGTGCTGACGTAACTTGTGGATTGTGGGGGAAACCCGATCACTGGACACTAAAGACTGGGAGTGAAGAGGGAGTGCTCCCAACCCTGAAGCAAGAATACAGAACTGTGTAAGCTGCTAGTTATCTTTCATAAACAGAAAATTCTAAGTGCTAAAATATGTAGAGAATTTTCAACTCACCTGAAACCAATGGGCTCTGTGCATTGGGCTGCTCTAGCAGGACCATATGTTGCAAAAGTGAATTATGAGAAGTTGCTGCATCAGAACCAAGGTAAGGAGTGAGGTGTGCAGCAGGAAACAAAGAAAGTCGCTGTTGGATAGTAGAAAGGGAAATGCGCTCAGTCTCTTGTCCAGAAGCACCCTAAAATTAAAAAGATAATGTAAATGTACAGAGTAGGTGCATGCACTGTATCACTAAATTTATCACATTTTTTATATTAAAGAGGCTGAAAAATATTTGACTCAATGAAGGGGCTAAACCTGCAATGCAAATTGGAGCCAAAGCTTTTTTAAGGGATAGCTTGGCTTCACACACGTCCACAAACGTGCACTGCATGAATGTGTTATGCTTCATGTTAACCTGCATTAAGAAGATTTATATGAACTGGTAGGTAATGCACTAGAATGGACAAAAACAATGCCTGCACCTTCTTTTCCAGTGAAGCACATCACAGTACACAGCTTTACTATGAGTTGTGGAGGTGCCATTCAAAATGAATTAAACACACCAATGCACGCAATATGCGTTACTGCAATGTAATGGTGTTACAGGGCCCCCAAGTGTATGTATAGTTGTATGGTTCACTAAGCTTAGGTTGGTTACCAGGCACACAATGTGAAAGAAAAGAAAAAAAACAAAACACAAAATGGCACCATAGGCAGGAAATTATTGCAACATAATGTTCATTTAATTTCCTTCGAGAAAAGGTTTTAAGGGCGAACGTGATCACATTGTATAAGTACACAAATGGTCCATATAGTGAACTTGGAAAAAAAAAAGTTAACTTTAGGCCATTGCAAATGACGAGGGGGTTCTCTCTGCATCTGGAGAAGAGGATTGAAAGGCTCCTTTGCATTAGGAGTTGTACAAATAAGGAATAAGTTGATTGTAAAAAGTAAAATGGCCATTAATGTTTATATATGATAACACCGGAGATTGCTAATCCAGAGAATATATCATTGCATTATTGGATCAGGAAGGATTTTTCTTTATCCCTGTCAGAGTAAATTGGACTTTAGAAGGGTTTTTTGTCCTTATCTGGATAAACTGTGAAGTTAGCATTCTGTATGTGCAGGTTTATTATTTTTAATTCATTTTTTCTATAGGCCAAACTTGGCCATACTATAACTATTTCTAAATGCTTTTCACAGCCTGGTTCTGAGCAACTTTAAATAACTAGTCTATACTAGACTAGTCTTATACTGAACAGTAATATGTCCACACAAAAAGTGTCATGGCAATATTCTATACTGGGAGAAAGACCAGAAAATACCAGATGAAAAACACAAGTCACTAATGGTCTCTTTTCATAAACACACAAAAACTCTTAACTCTTTTGCTGCCAAGCCCTGCACTCCACTTTTAATCTCAGCTGGCAAGACAATTTTTACAATTTATCACTTTATTTCAGAGCTTTCAGAGTTTGTAAAAGACCCCCAAAACCAAAAATGTTCTGAAAGTGCAAAACCAGTAGAATAAAGAGATTGCGCTAGTCATTTTGTAGGTCCTTTAGATAAAAATACACTAAAATCATTATCAGCGAACACAAAAAACCCCCCATAATATCCAAAATTCCAACTAAATCTAAAAGATAAAAACTGTACTGACTGTTATTAAAAGGAGAACTATGAGGTGAGTGATTTCCACTCACCTCACAGTTCTTGCCGACCTGTGACAATGAGACTGTCACAGGTCGGCTCAGTAGATCGGGAGGTGAGCGAACACATACCGGGTTCGCTCACCTCTCGATCCTGTCACGGCTCTCTGCCCTGACAGGGGGAGGGGCTGGATTCCCCTCTCCCCGCTCCGATCTGCCAGCGCTGACTGGCGGAACGAACGGGGGAGGGGGCGGGTACAGCTGGCTCTGCCTCTAGATAGGCAGAGCCAGCTGTCACTCACGCAGCTGGGCGGATCTCGGCGTATACTGAGCTTAGGGTGACGGGAGGACGCTAGTTTGTGTCCTCCCGTTACCCTAAGGAGAACTATGGGGAAAAACACTGACCCCATAGTTCTCCTTTAACAAATATTTGTCCATTTTCAATTCGCACCTTTTGTAAAATGGTAAGGAAAACTAAGGTACGCAAAACTGTAAATAAGCAATATGCTAAAAATGTGGAGGTTGGCACACTCCAAGCAAATAGCTAATTACATGGAGATTTAAAAAAAGCACATTTAAACTAAAGCTGTCAACCACTAAATGTCCTCAGTTTGATGGGCTAATTGACAGCCAGCATCATTCATCCCACTTCCTCTAATCCCAGGCTATCATGGACCTGGCCCCCAGCCTGTGACTAGGCTGTGAAGGAGAAGCAGCACCGTCATGAGCTCATTTCTCAGTTACTTTGCTTTCTCCTCCTATCAGCATGCTTCTTGTCAGCATAAGAGATGTTTAGCTACTTGTGCTGCTTCTTCCTTTCCCACTCTGAGCTCTGCTGCAAAGGGGCTGACGCAAAGTAAAATTTAGGTATTTTCACTGATTGAACTAAAAATAAAGCAAAACACAACTCTATTAATATATGTGATTTATGTTTGCCTAGAGTATAGCTTTAAGAAATGTTGACTTTAAGTTGACATTTAGCAAAGGTAAAAGATTGTAGGTTGGCACAGACAAATTATTTTGTAAAATAACATATAGTTAAGTATATTTTGCCCATTGTAAAATATCTAATGGCAGGAAAAACACAGTTATGGGAACCTTAAAAATTTACCGAGTTGGCTAATGAGCAGGGAGAGATTAAGACTGCTCACATACAAATATCCGACTTAAGAGGAGGCCCTCTGGATGATCAACCTTCAACTAGGCTTGATCATCTACTCCAATCTAGGGTGAGCATACATTACTCAAAAATGATGCTTTGATATGGATATACCTGGTGAAGTCCCAAGCTGCAACTGCTGAGAAAGATAAATGAAGTACATGTACTTAAAGCAGTGGTTCTCAACCTGTATAACCTCAGGACCCACATTTGTCTTTGGTCATTAAGTCGCGACCCAAGTCGCACTGCAATGGAACGCACAGCATTGCGGTACCGCGTGCTCTGGTGCGAGCGAACAATGGGTGGGAGGTGGGTTTGGGATGCCATTTAAATGATCCACCCAGTCTCCATACCTTACGAGAGCTGGAGTTGATCCTCAGCCTGGGGTCCAGTGTGGGCTGCTATGCTGTGATTGAGCTCCATCCATATGTGCAATGCTGTAACGGCTCCCTTGCGTGCCCTTTAGAGGTGCCGGGAGCCAGAATGTGACATCACACCTCTACAGGACACGCAAGGGAGTTGTACGTACTTAGTAAGTACGTACGGATGGAGCTCCCTCATGGCCATAGCCCCAGCCCATCCCACCTCAAGCAGACACTCGGCACCGGGCAGGAGGAGCCACCTCAAGCAGACACTCGAGAACGGACAGGAGGAGCCTCTCACCTAGCACAGTGGAAGGCACACGCGACCCACTAAAGACGGGGTCGTGACCCCCTAAACACGGGGTCACGACCCCCTAAACACGGGGTCACGACCCCCTAAACACGGGGTCACAACCCCTAAACACGGGGTCACAACCCCCTAAACACGGGGTCACGACCCACCAGTTGAGAACCAAGGACTTAAAGTGTCTCTTACTAGCTCCCTTTTCATTTGTTTGCTTCTAATATTTACATTTAGTGTGCTATTCAAACTTTGTCACTTAGAGAAGAAAGTGTGATTGTGATACGTACATTAGCAGATCCACTGGCAGGCAGTCCCAGAGTTATGTTGGGTAAAGAGGGTGAGGTATAGAGAGGGAGCTGGGTCACAGAGCCTTCCCTGCTCGCCAGTCTATGAGCCAGAGCAGCCTAAAATATAAGAAAAGTAATCAATATCTAGAACATATCAGCACAGGAAGCACGTTTCCCATGCAACACCCAAAGCTAAAAATACCTCCGATTGGATGCCCAAAGGACCAGCAATGCCATTCTCAGTGGTGATGTTGCTTGAGCTGTTGTTGGGGGAACTAGGGCCAGAACCAGGTGCACTATTGCAAGCAGAGTCTAAAAGAAAATACAAAATACTGTGTATATTACCAGCAAGAATTTAGATGCAGATTATTTACTTTAAAAAGGTATGTGTCTAAATAAAAATATGAGGGATGCCAATTAATGACTTTCTTTTGGAAGTTGCAAGCTCTGGGACAGTAATCCTTGAAGTAGAACTGTGGCCTCCCATTAAAAAAAAAAATAATACACTGTATTGCCAAAAGTATTGGGACATCTGCCTTTACACGCACATGAACTTTAATGGCATCCCAGTCTTAGTCCGTAGGGTTCAATATTGAGTTGGCCCAACCTCTGCCACTATAACAGGTTCAACTCTTCGGGGAAGGCTGTCCACAAGATTTAGGAGCTGCTCGGCCATGGAAACCCATTCCACGAACCTCTCTATGCACTGTTGTTACGCCAATCCAATGGCCACACAAAGTTTGGAGGTCTGTAGCTATTGACTCTGCAGACAGTTGGCGACTTCAGAGCACTGTGCGCTTCAGCATGCGCAGGGTCTGCTCTGTCATTTTACATGGCCTACCACTTCGTGGCTGAGTTGCTGTTTTTGCCAGTTGCTTCCACTTTGTTATAATACCACTAAAGGTGCCCATACACCTTACGACCATCGCAAGACTTTTGTCTTGCGATGGTCGTATGCTCATTAAAAGCCCGTACGATCTGCCCACCTTGGACGGGCAGATCGTACTTGCGTTCATCGGAAGCCCGCCCCGCTGAGGGGCGGGCTTCCGATGACGGCAATGCAGAACGGGCAGTGTGCGCGTGCGCACACCGGCCCGTTCCGCAGCTATCGGGCTAGCAGGCTAGAAACCCGCCGAGAATCTCGGTGGGTTTTCAAGCATGTTGGCTCGACAAAAGACGTGCGACCGTACAGTAGAAACGGTCGCACGTCTTAGTTCACACTGCTCGATTCTCGTACGATCGCGGGATTTCGCCCGATTCTCGTACGAGAATCGAGCAGTGTATGGGCACCTTAACAGTTGATAGAGACACATTCTTTCACAAATATTTGTAGAAGCGTCTGCATGCCTAGGTGCTTGATTTTATACACCTGTGGTCATGGAGGTGATTGGAACACATGAATCCAATGATTTGGAGGGGTGTCCCAATACTTTTAGCAATATAGTGTATGTGCTCAAGCACTCAATTATGGACTGATACCACTGCCTCTGTTGCTGAAACCCTACTTTGACACTGTGAGCTGAAGTGTCTAGGAGTAAATGTATAAGAAGAAAAAAACCAGCCGGAATTCACCTGGTAAAGTGCAATTACCCATAAATTCCTACTGGGTTAGTGCACATTAGGTGTCCCAACACTTAACTACATGCTTGTTCCAGATAAATGGCACACTAAGAAGTGAAATGAGTAAAATTAAAGCCCAGAAGCTTACACACACACATATATACACTGAGTGGCCAGATTATTATGACCACCTGACGTTTGTAGGCAAATTAGCTATAATTAGCTATATTTCGCGCTGAAGTTAATAGAGGGCCAGACCATTATAAATAGGGACATAAGCTGTTTATCACGACAGTAGAAGTGATTTTTTTCTGAAGATATGGGTAAACAACACGATTTAACAGCCTTTGAATGTGGAATGATTGTTGGCGCTCGGCGCCATGGAGCGAGTATCAGCAAAACAGCAGAATTCGTTAAATGTTCAAGAGCAGCTGTTGTTAAAGTGTTTAAAGACTGGACTGTCAGCCGAAAATCTGGGTCTGAAAGTGCAAATTGTGGCCGTCAGCGACTAGTCAATGTTAGGGCAGAACGGAGAGTGGCAAGACAAGTACAAGACAACTGAAGAGCAACAGTGCAGTGTCAGATTCCTCGCATCACCTTTCAACATCTCGTGGAGTCACGAAGCTGCCATCAGCACTTACTGCAATTACTTTTGCACGATATTCTAATTATTCGAGTTTCACCTGTATAGTCATCAATGGCAGTACCTAATGAGTTCCCAATGGATACTGAACTTTGAGGGAAGGCATCAAAAATTAGGTTTGAACAAAATTAGTCAGGTATTTATAGACATGTGATTACAGGCACCTGATTCAGCTATTTAAGCCTTACCCCTAGCAGTATATAGAAAAAGCAAGTGGCCAGGATGGCCTTTTTTGATGCCATGGTTGGCAATTCACTTCACAGACACCTATCACTAACCAGACATATCCATAGGACGCTTCTTCAAAGTAGTCACTCCAGGGCAATCTTTCCTTCTTAGGAGAGGGCTGCTTCTGCGCTCTGCAACCTTCTGCTTCAGTCTGGAACGTAACTTGAGATTGGGCTCAGATGCTAAACGGAGTAAGAGACAGTGGGAGAGACAAAGGTGAAAACCTGGAAGTTGACACACTAAGCATCAGGAAAAAAATACATTATATGCAATCTCCAAAATATTCAAAACACAAGTATAATAAATATGTAAGTGCCCTTTTCTGTTAATTTTAGTTATGAATTTTTTTTTTTTTGCAGTTAGAAAAATGAAAGTATAAGAGAGCATTACTGTGGCAGAAAGTTTAGTGTGGACTTTGAGGGACAGAGTTGCTAAGTTCAGTTCCAGCCAGCACACTATATGCTTAAAGCAGCAAATACAAAAATAAAAAACTTGCAGTGGGTGCGTCCCCCGGGTCCTTAGACCGCTGGGTAAAGAGAGAGCAGTGGCTGCAAGGACCACTCCAGCAGGAAGCCAGGATCAGGTGAGCATAGATGCTTTATTTCATCCACTAGACCAGTGGTTCTCAACCTTTCTAGGGCCGGGACCCCTTGGTAACATTTGCCAAGTTGTGGTGACCCCCAACGGTAAAATTTAGGGATGACGCGGCTGCTGCAGCGACATCTGGCGGCGTGGTGGGAGAACTGACACTGCTGCGTTAGGAGAGGGCTGAGGAGGACTCTCACCTAGCACAGCAGAAATCACACAGCGACCTACAGGTTGAGAACCACTGTTGTAACAGCTAAAATGGCAAACCATATAACACAAGCCGAGGGTGTCAGCTTTTATTAATAATAATGATGATAATCTAATAGTGGGAGACTCCCGGCGACCCCTGGCAAATTGTCATTCGACCCCCGAAGGGGTCCCGACCCACAGGTTGAGAACCGCTGCACTAGACCAAAGCGAGCAGTTAAAGAACTCCAGTAATGAAAGTGACGCTAATCTCAAGAGACACATTTTAAAAATGCATTTAGGTATTTTACCCAATAACAAAAATGTATCTTATTTGTGTATCACTCAGCTGTAGATCCTCAAATCATCGCTGAATTGATTGCCGACACTGTCCTTCCTTCTGGAGGGGGGCTACTTTTGTTCTCCATGGTCCCTGTGTGTGATGTAAAGTAGCCACTACTCCAAGCTCAGTCCTGTGATAAACTATAACTTCAATAGAAATTAGCTAATCAAATGTGAGATGTAGTCCATCATGGGAATGAGCTTGGAGCGGTGGCTACTTTACAACACAGACAGAGACCATTAGGAACAAAAGTAGCCAGTGTCAGCACCAATTCAGAGATGATTTGAGGACTTACACCAGAGTGATACACAAATAAGCTACATGTTTGTTAATAATTAAAAAGGTACTTGAATGCATTTTTAAGATTTAACTCCTGAGTGTAGTGCCACTAACAAATATAACCATTGCAGTGGGGCCACCCACACACTGCAAGGGTTAACTGCTCATCCACTTAGATGTAAGGATGACGAGGGACATTCCATAACTGGTGCAGAGGGGGAGAGAGGCGAGAGGTGAACGCTGACCGTGCGGTAGCCAGGATTAGTAAATCAGCTTAGTTTAAAAGGAGAACTATGGCTAAGTGAATCACACTTACCCCATAGCTAGAGCCGACGTGTAGCGAAAACATACCGCTCCTTGCTCAATTCCTGATCATCTCCCTGGAATGTTGTTCCTCAGGAGTTGATCCAACTGTTCCCTCAAAAGGATATAATTCAAGGTGGGTGAATGCCCCCCACCCCCCTTTAGTTTTGGAACAGTAAAAGAATTCGAGTGAAACCCCTGAAACATTAAATCACCAGCACACGCAGGATAGAACTTCAATCTTCTTTGTGTACTTTATTAAACGTCACATCGTGCCCTGTATGCAAACCTTTCGGGACCGCCCAAGGACCCTTCATCAGAGCGGCACAGTGACGTTTTAATAAAGTACACGAAGATTGAAGTTATTTAAAAGTAATTTAAACTGCTTTTGCCAAGTAAATGGGAACATGTAACAAATATAAAACAGGTGTTATCCCAATCTGGCTGCGAAAGTGGAAATACACTAAGTAAAAAAATGTACTGGGAAAGTCCCAGACAGCAGAAGTAGAAGCAACAGGCCACATATTTAGCCCTCGTTCACACCTAGGCGTATTGCATATGCGCAGCTGTCACGCGTTTTTTTAACGCGATTCGCGGTAAAAAAAGTTGCGCGTTTCCGAAGGCTACTTGGCTGTATCCCAACGGAAACGCGCAACAAAACGGCCCAAAGTAGTACCTGTACCTTTTCAGGGGTGGGCCGTTTTGTAGTGCGTTAGGGACGGGTGGAAATACGCCAAGGTGGGAACGAGACCATTGAATACAATGGGATTTATATTTTTGAGCTTTTTGTAGAGCGTTTGTCGAGCGTAGAACGCGCTACAAAACGTTCAGGTGTGAACGAGGGCTTAAAGCATCTCCCTCAGCACCAAAAAGGGTGACATGGTTACAAAGTCTGGGGTTAACAGCAGTTGACTGCTGGTCTTCAGGAGTAGGCTCATCCATTAAGGATTTCTAAAACTCAATGAGACATGACATCCATTAGGGAAGGGTCAGGGGCCGCAAAAGCTGCAGAATGTCAGATAAAGAATCATGCATGGAGGGCATGGAAGCACACTTACAGCTTTGTGCTAGGGTCCAGCAATCAGAGTGGGAACCTTTTAAATGTTCCTGCAGGGATGCAGAAAATTCATCCCTGGACAGAACAGAGGAGGGGAGTACACCTGATAAAGCCATCGCAGAACATGAAGAGTCCAATAGGTGACAATGGTCTAGGCTGCTTGCAACAGGACCCTGAGGGGGGACACTGCAGGCAACCCTCTAGACCTCTATCAGAGGAATGTGAGCTAGAGAAGCACGGATCAGTGCACTTAGGGTCTGCCATTCTGTGGTGCTTCCCAGCAGTGGCACAGTAGAAAAGCAGCTACAAAATGTGGTAAAAACAACCAAATGCTCAAAGCAGAAGGGGATAAGTGACAAAAGATACCAGGCCACTGTAAGCGGCAGTTCAGACCAGGAAAGGAGAAACTCCTGCAATTCTCACTGATAGAGAGAAGGCGAACTTTACCTTACACAGTGCTAGGTGGCAGGAAGGAACAGAGAGAGACGCAGCACACAATCCAGAGCACAGTAAACCGTATCTGAAGGCTGAAGAACACAGAGAGCTTAATAGCAAAATAGCCGCAAAATGACAGAGGCTTGATACAGAGCTGAGCCCCAAAGGGCTGGAGTGCAAAAGCTATGTTTGAAGGGGGAACTGCATAATGAAAGGAAAAAGTACATTTTTGCGCTCACAGTAAAATACCTTTTTTCAGTATTCATAAATGACAGCAGAGATCTTTATTCTCTGACCACTGGGTTATAGCGCCACCTTCAGCAGTAAGACACAAGGCAAAAAAGAACAAAAAACAAAAAGCAGAGCCAAGGAGTGGCCCCCCGACAGTGGGCAACCCTCCATCTGCTAGAGGCAGCTTAGTTAGTCCCAAAGCAGTGCATAGGGAACAGTTGTCAAAAAAAACAAGGAAGGATGGGTGTTCTTCAATGAACACAGAGAAAAGGATTTGGCGCTGGCTACACAATGCATTTTTCTCTTCAGTTCGCTGTAGGACACAGTCGTGATCTTAAAAAATTACCATTTGGACATCCCAAAGCAATGTCCACCAAAGAGTGGGAAAACTAAACAACTCTAAGTCAGGAACAATACAATGATGCCTCGAAGACAAGAAAGCTGTGAATGGCATACATAACTCTCTTAACCCTTTCGCTGCCAAGCCCTCCGGAACATTTTTCAAATCAGCTGGTATTTTTGATAATAGCAGTCATCAGCGGCTTGTGAGCCGCTGATGACAGCTATTAATTTAAAGGGGACAGTCTGCTGAACAGTTCTACTATAAACTTATAGTAGAACTGTAAATGCCAGGTCCGTACGGCATACTGAGCTGAGATTCCCAACCTGGGCAACATGCAAAGACTAGTTCCACTTGAATAAAAGGCCTTAGGATCCAAAGCCATTTCTAGGAAGCCGAAAAGTATAAGACTTCTAACTGAATGATTGGCTGCAATGTAAATCTGTAGAGCATGAACTATATTCTAGATGGTGAAGATTATTTTTTTTTCTGCATGCACTGAAGTTGGACAGAGACATGGGAAACGTGGGGAGTGGCAAGTTTTCTTTTTTTTTTTTTATTTGCCAGTGTCCACCTCCTGTAGGTGGCTGCATATAACCCATATGCTTGGAACTTATGAACCTATGTCCCTAATGAACGGGAAAAAAAAATCGATGAACGAAAATATATAACCGATTCCTCCATCCATGTTAAACAGCCAGTTTGGCTGTCATATTATGACAGCGGTAGGTATGTGGCTGTAAGAAAACCCAAACAGTGACAGCAGCTGATTGGCTTTGTGACTGTTCAAGAGAAAGTTTTCCATCCGGCTCCTTCGATTTTATTTTAAAAAAAAAGGATGTCGGACAGAAGAAGTGCAACAATGAATTTCGGCCTGTTCATCAAGAATTGGCTGCAATTCGTACAGTGGATGACCAGCCTAAGAACATTAATTTTAATCATGGCCAAATATGGCTGTTCCCATCTGCATATATACTAAACAAGCTTTACGGAAAAATAGATACGCAGCATTAAACAGACCATATTTTACTTGCACAAATAACTCCACACACTGCTGTAAATCCAGGAATTTATCACAGGTCCAAGTGTCTTATCTAAGAAATTGGAAGCAGAACTGGAATCTCAACAGCCACATTAACATCAATCGATAGCTTTCATAGTGGTGAAAGCTTCCGCTGGTACCCGACTTAACCCACGGAACCAGCTCAGCCCGCTGCCTGAGAAGACCACATCAAATAAATATACTATAGCAACATTAATAATTCACAAGCATTCCTGTAACTACTCATAAGGCACACACAAATGGAAAATGGGTGTGGGGGTTAGAATACAACATGTAGAGGCAAAGAGATTAGGAAAATAAATGTGGCTAGGATGAGAGTGAAAGTAGTCAATGTGGGTAATAAAAAAAAGACAATAAAAATAAATTTAAAAAAAAGCAGGTGTAATGTCTTACTTGTCTCACATGCACACAATATGCACAGGGTGTATTGAGATGTAAACAAACATCTACCATTCAATGCAAAGTAAGTGGTTTAAAAATAGTTTCCTTTAGAAACAGTCAGGTCAGTAGCTAATTAAGCAATATTCTTTGACTGAACCATAGCAGCCTTGCCGATGCTCACCTGTCTTTCTTAGGGGGAAGTCATCCTTTGAGTCATACATTCCCAAGACAGGATGGTGGTATGACCCAGATACCCCTCCCTGAGGTGGTGGACTCTGGTCCAGGGAGCTATGCTGAGTTTTCCTGTGGGTTAGGATGGTTATTGGAATTAGTAACCATTGCCCTGATAAACTCATACAGCATCCATATCAATTATAAATATGCTCTACTAAGATGTCCTTAAAGTTAGTAAAACTTCCACTGCAGATCACAATCACATACAGTTTTAATTGTGTAGAGATTAAGCACAATTGAGAGATCTTGGATAGATTACCACTGTAGACAAATTTTGCTCATCTTGCCCCAGTCATTACAAGTTCAATTGTTATTGTCTCCAAATTATCGGCTTCAATTTATTTTAACACATTTTTATTAAGTAAAAAAAAAAAAGTAGTAACAAGTACTTGTCAGGGTTTGCATAATATAAACCAGACATATTGCTGCCATGGGGTGCGCTGGAAAACAATGCAAAATAGGTGCATACTTTACAGGCTAGTTACCAGTTTAACATGTTTAAAAATGCCAAAGATGCATTTATATGCACTATTTGCAAAAATGTATCTTATTTGTGTATTGCTCAGCTGTAGATCCTTAAATCATCTCTGAATAGGTGCGGACACCATCCTTCCTTCTGGAGGGTGACTACTTTTGTTCCCCATGGTCCCTGTGTGTGTTTTAAAGTAGTCACCGCACCAAGCTCGCTCTCATGATGGACTACATCACGTTTAGTTTACGAATTTCAATGGAGATTGTAGTCCATCATTGGAGCGAGCTTGGAGTGGTGACTATTTTACAACATACACAGGGACCATGGGTTACAAAAACAGCCCCCCTCCAGAAAGGAGGACCAATTCAGAGATGATTTGAAGATCTACATCTGAGTGATACAAAAATAGGATACACTTTTGTTAATAGTTAAGGTACATAAATTCATTTTTAAGAAATAACTTCTGAGTTTAGTGTCACTTTAAATAACATACAAAATGTTTTTTATGCCCAAGTTCTTTTCCTTTTTTAAAGGAAAGGCTCTGAACTTCTAAGATAAGTAATTCTTCCCCTAAAAACAATGTGATTGATCAAGTCATGTGGCAGAGTCAGAGCTTTTTCCATTGCTATAATCACCAGTTCAGGGGCAAGTTTGCACAATGTGATTTTCAACTGAACAAAAAAAAATTAGGCATTACAAAATCTCACATGTCTCTAGTCTACAACAGCCAAACAAAAGACTCTAGACACCAAGGGTAAACATACAATACTCACCAGAAGCGAGGGTCACTAGACATGCAGTGATTTAGGCTACGGTGAGCAAGGGCTTTCTTTTTGTTCAGAACAAACTCTTGTAACTTCATTTTAACTTCAGTGCTTGCAACAGCACCTACAAAAGTGAATCCAGAGAAAATGGTAAACTGCAAGTAAAATACCATTTACTGTGTCCAAAGCACTGTTATATGTAAAGTTAAGTTAAAGGGCAGTCAATAAGTCCCTTTAGTGAAAGGTGGAACGATTGCTCCAACAAATGCGAGTATTATGAAAGCTTTGTCCCAGGGCCACTTTCCATAGCACAAGCAATGATAAGTAAAACAGTAAGCAAAAAAAAACTGGAAAAAGTGGTGAGGAACATTTTAGGGGCTAGCCTGGCCCTTCATCAGCCTAGGCATCCTCTTAATAGTGGGCCAGTGAGCAGGCTTTGAAGAAACAAGATTTTTGATTGCAATGAGAAGGCATATACTTGTGTAAAAAAAAAAAAAAGGAACCTGCCTTTTGAAAAATTTGTAGACTGCCAATGTAAACCTTCATAAAATAAAGATTCCAGTGCATCAGGACATATCTTCGGTTTCAATTCTCTCTGGGTTATTTACCCAGAGCAAGTATGTAAATTAACACCAGACTCGTGACATCACTTACTGAAGGAATCTCCTACACCACACACAGTACTCACTGAATACTCTGTACAGACATTCCTCGCTTAACGTCTTACCTGTTTTGCGACCACTGGCACTTACGACCGACCTTCCACCTTACGTGCGGGAACGTGGCAGCGGCAGTGTGACATCTCGCTGGTGGAAGTGCTGTACTCTGTTCTTCACTGCGGGTCTCGGTGAGTATTTTATTATGTACTGTACATCTGCAAAACTATACAGTACTGTACTAATGCAGTACAGTACTGTATAGAGTTCCTTGCTTAACGACCAATTCGTTTAACGACCTGGTCGTAGGAACGGAACTCCGTCGTTAAGTGAGGAATACCTGTATTCTGAAGCCTCTAACACACTTACTTTCTTTTCCCTTTTCCTTATGCTTCAGCTGTAACAGTTTCTGCTCCCGCTGCTGTTTCTCTATTTCTTGCTCCTGCCGATGCTGTTCCAACTTTCTCTGGTGCTCCAAAAGCTCCTGTTGATGTTTCATGGCCAGGAGCTCTTGTTGTTGCTGCAAACAAGGTCAATACATTAGCACAACTATTACCAGTACTTTTAAAAACCAGTAACTCCTATAAGCTCTCACCTTTACATGTTCATGTAGCTGGGCTTCATGTTGTCTTGACAGCTGTTCATGCTGTCTTTGAAACTCTGCTATAAGGAGCTGCCGCTGTATTTGCTGCTTCTGCTTTAGTGTCATCAGTTCTTGCTGCAGCTGTTGCTCCCTCCCACTAGTGTCTGTCCCTGGGAGAGGATACTGAGGATCCAGCCGAAGGTCCATAGGAAGGGTGCCAGAGGCCACCTGAAGTGGCAGCGCAGCAGAAACATCAACTACAATGAGAAAAAGAGAATTTAACAAAAACAGAAAACACAGAGTTGACTTCAATTTACCAAAGATATTCCATAGATCTAACTAAACAGGAATTAAAATGCAATAAAGGGGATGGCTATTAAAACAAAAATGTGTGGACAATAGGATTTTTCTTTCCAATTCAGCAATTAATTATAAATAAAATGTGAGGGTCATAGTGTTTTCATGGTTTCTATGGAGTATGAAGCTGGGCATAGAGAGCTCCAGTTTTGGGCCATGCAGTCTACCATTCCTCTTGAAAACAGACAGTGAAAAAATCGCTCGTGTAGAGCCCCGAACAGGGAAATCAATTGATAGCCGACGAGTCGACAATCGAAAACGTTGGTAATGTTTTCAATCGTCGATTTTAATCGACTAGATCGATTAACTGTTGCAGCTCTACTTGAATCCCCCAGCCAAGCTGTATTCATGCAGCCGCAGCTTCTGCCACTGCCGAATCCAAAAGGATGCAGTCACTGGTCGGCCGATAATTTTCCACCTGGCTGAATTGATATTTAAATTGACTTCTCCTGAGGTGGCTGGTGTTGCAGGGTCACCCGTGGCTCAAATTTCAGCTGATTCAGCAGAATCCTTTAGAATTTGAGCCGTCTACAGCCAACTTTAGGGTTTATAAGTGCCCACCATAGCCTAGTGAATGAGTGCCATTGTTCTAATGTACAGTTTTCAACAGTGTCGAACTTAATAATCGGCTAACTAATCGATTTTGAAAATAATCGTTAGCTGCAGCTCTAGTGTCTAGTCCCACCAACAAGCTGGTCTGTGTGGAGAGAAAGGTCCCGTTTGCTGCAATTTGTGTGCTGTGCTGACATTTTTACTCAAGTTAATGGGCTCCTTCAAATGCAAAACATGACCTAAACGGATGTCAACGCAATGTGCATGACGATCTAAGGTGGCACATCCACATCGGTTGCCCTCTCTGCAAAGTTATAAATGTGAGAATTATCTCCTGATCTCAACTCTGGTGTCTTTTCCTACCTTTCTCCCTAAAGATCTCTTTTAAAAGTTTGGAAACACCATAAAATCACTTTGAAACCGATACCCAACAACTTAACCTCCAAGGGCTGCCACACAGAAAAGGGTAGGGCAAAATGTAATGCGAGACAGACTTTTATATCACTTTTTGAAAATACAATAGAATCTTGGTTTTTTTTTTAAAAAGGCAGTCGAAACCCCCCCCCTCAAAAGGTAATTCATTGTATTTATTTATCTAATTGGTGATTATAGGGAAAAATTATTGCTGATGTTCATTTCATTAGCTGCCAACCCCCCCCCCCCCCCCCAAAAAAAACATCTTCCCCCTCCACCAACATTTCAGGGCCTTGCAGGACCCCTTTCTCAGGCCGACATTCCTATTCAATAACGCTCTACATTAGACTCTTATTTAATAAAGTTGTCCTGCTTATTAAAACAAAATCATAAAAACGAGTCAACCTTCTAGACTCTAAACTAATTCTTGCATGCCAATTCTTGCAGTGTTCCAGATATGCACAAGATGCCAGTGCACCTGTTTGGGGCAAGTTGCAGGAAGAGTTAACGTGAAAAATTGAAGACCATTCAGGATGTTGTCCATCTGGAGGACGAGATGAAAGCTGGCAGTTCTACCATGTCAGGGAAGAAGTTCATACAATTACAGGCAACATAAGGACACAGCTGCATAGATGTGACGCACAATCAAAGACTATTGTGTTGAGAGGCTGATGCGTCACTTAGGACTCTTGATCACCAAGAACCCCAGAGCAAACTTGTTAGCAAAAGTTGACAGGAAGGCGGGGGAGGGTCAGGCATGTCAGTGAGGGGAGTTTGACACACTGAGTCCTTCGGAAAACAAAGCCAGCTTCTTTAGATCCCTGAGGGAGCTCCCCCAGTCCCTGGTCTCAAAGCTTTTCCTCTGGGTTTATCTGTGAGGCTTACGAAAGTAGTTGAAGTGGTGACGTTAACAGACACACAAAGACTGTATTCAACAGAGTGACGGAACCCTCAGCAGAGCATCATTATAATACAGCCCATCTCCCCACAGCAATTCTTCCCACAATCCAAGACACATTGGCCCCGGAATTGCGGAGGGTGATGCATTTGGTGGTTTTGAATAAAAACTAAAACATGAATGGAGGATAAAGAAAAAAGGCTCCATTCTGTAACTATAAAAAAAAAAAATACAATAGCTGCATAAGAGCAGGAAACCTTCACGTCAACTCCAAGCATGTGGCATGTGAGATGCACAAAATCATTATCTACCCATTACAAAGTCACAATTCATCTTCAGTACCATAACAGCAATCACCAGAGGACAGCAATATGAAATATATTTATCTTAAGTTTGGAGCCCTGACTGTGTTGATAAACTTGATATGCTTCTGAGAACATTCAGAATTCATAGACCGTGCCTTTGACCTGCAGGTGACCTCCTCCTGACCCGCTTTTGTATTCCCATAGACTTGTATAGGGAGAGACGCAATTTGAGACAAACAAAAGTCTGTCAACACAGGCCCTTAAGAGAATCAGAATAACCAAACCTTGGGGAGCGAGGGTTCAGTCTGACAATCATGCGCGTTACCTGCTGAAAGTGTCATTTTAGAAGCATAGAATCACCAGATAGCTCCCAATCATCGCAGGTGTATATAATTAGATATATTTGGCACTCATCCTAGCAAGCAATCACCACCCCGCCCCCCCTGTGCTAGGGAAAGTTATAATGCTGATTGGCTTTTAGAACGGACTGTACAAGAGAAATCAACTGATTTCCCCCATCAACGCTAAACAGCATGGATGGAGGAATCTCCACTGCCGGCTATTAAATTGCCTGAATACACGAAGAGTGACTGCATTTGGTTGGAAGAAGCCAATGTTCAAATGAAAAGTTTCCTCATGGATCCTCAGACTTTGAAATTGACTTTTGCAGAAGCAGGTGCTGCCGACAGCACCACTCATGACTGGATTTTTCGGCCATTTCGCTAAAATTCAGCTTAAAGTAAGCAGATACACTGATCAGTGCATTCAGCATATATGGGATAATCCACCCAATGTTCTCCTTCAGTTATGGATGGTCAATGGTAGATGACATCATTCCCCGACTCTTATATTTCAATGGAACCATAGCTGGATGTTCACAGTTCTGCTCTTTTCCTTAGACATCACAAAATCAATATTGGTCATTTCCCTTCGCCCTGCTACATTACCAGAAATATAAAATTAGAGGGAATTCTGGTGGTGACATTTAGCCCCAACTTCATTATTTCCATAGCAGAGCGATGAGGCTGGGGATTTAAAACCTTTGTAATAGAAATAAGTCTGTAGGTGATGCAAAGTGCTCACCTCATAAAACTGAAGACCAGATTTGCCCAAGAAAACTTTTAGCTTTTTGCTTCTTTTTCTTAACCTGTGTTTTAGATGAGAACTATGCGTGCGACAAATCACATCAGCAACAGTCAGCATAGGCGTACATATCAGCATAGGCGTACAAAGAAAAAATATACTTGCACAATGATATCAGTCAGTCTAAGCAGGGTCTTCGGGCCATTTCACTGCAGAAATCATGAGGTTAGATTGTTATTTGTAGAAGTAGATACGGCCAAATTATATGGGCAGGATATGCTGGTGTCTAGCAAGCTCAAGACGGCCTACAATTTATTTCAGCACCTCTGTGAACAACAAAATGGCCAATACTGCTCTACACCATCTCTATCACGTGTGGGAAAAGTTCTAGAATTACATGGACAGTTTTGAAATCAAGATAATGTTAAGAACACTGCAGTCTAATCATCCATAATGGCGCTCCTTTTCCAACGTAGGTTACATGTACTTTCTCCTTATCAGAAAAGACACTTTACAAAAGAGGTATTATGCAGTATAATTCATCATTGGGAATATGATCACAGTACACTGCAGACTGCGAGGTTATTTCCGTCAAAGAAAAGCTGCAGGCACAACCTGTTGTCACCGTATTGGTGTCATCGGAAGCTCATTCATGTCCCCGAAGCTGCCGCCCACTCCAGCCTGTCTTCTGCTTCCTTCATTAGACAGGATAACATGTTCCAAAGATTCTCCGTATGGCATAGAACGCCTCCGTCGGCAGGAAGGTGACTCACCATAGCTCAGCAGGTGAATCACACACCCTGGAGACTGTCACAGATACAATCCTATCTAGAGTGCTCCCGTGGAAAACAGAGCTACAAAAACTGCGGATAGAGCCCTTACTGGATGACATTTCGCAGCATCAATAACAGCTGCAGTAAGACTAAAAGTAACTGAACAAATGACAACCGAGTGTGCCGAGCAAAAAGATGTTTAATTAACTACTATGGCGATGTGTGAATATCTATGTCCGCCATAGAAAGGATGACATACTAAAGGAGCAAGTCTGAATAGAGCTGCAAAAAGGGATCAAAATTAAAACCAACTGTGCAAATCTTATTTTGAAACATCACCGCAGTGTGTAAAAGCATAGCTGCTCAATATATGTACACTGTCACATATTGATTAAAAAAAATGTACAGTATTGCTGTATTAACCCTTCCCTATATAGGAGATAAAAAGCAAGAGCTAGTAAACAGAAAGTATCCTGCTTTTAGAAAACTTTAAAGCTTGTTAACCTGTCGACATACGTTCGCGCACACGTGTTAAGTTAAAGAAGCCCATTCTTTAATTCAGAGGAGATTGCTGAAAATGCTATCAACCTGGATGCTATGGTGACCCACTGGCTTCAATAGTTTGGCTCTGCTGAACTGCATTGTTTCATGTCAAAAACTCTGACTCGGAGACAAGCCAAAAGTTATCTGGCTACTTGTCCTCGATCAGGGACTCAAAACATTAAGGCTGTTTTACCACCACCCAAACCGCCTGCTGCAATGTCAGTAGGGCTGCAACCAATTAATCGATGAGAATGGTTGTCAACTATTTTCATTATCGATTAGTTGGTTGGATCCCCTAGCTCTCTCCTCCATGCTGGGAGGAGGGCACAGCAAGCAGTGGGCAGGTGCAATAGACAATATCAGGCTGGCTATTGCACCAGTCCACTACCTGCTGTACTTTTTGGTTACGGCCTTACAAATTCGGCTGCGGGAGGTGCGTTGGAGTGCCATACATTTCAATAGCACCCCAAACACGCCTCCCACCCACAGTCTGATCACCCGCACTGGAACGCGTGGTACCACAATGCTGTGCATTCTGGTGCAGTGCGATTGCAATTATGCATGCAGTTTTATTGTGCATTTTATTTTAAATTAAGATGGTATTTAATATTTATTTTTTTATCAGATTAAAATCGGGGAAAAAATTGGCCAACTAATCGGTTATGAAAATAATCATTAGTTGCAGCCCTAAATGTCAGAACTGTGGCCGCACAGTGCTCTATACATTGCTGCAGCCTTGATGCTTTGCGGCACAAGACACACAGCATGTTGCGTTTGGTAGGTGGGGCTGCTAGTCAAACCTGACAAATGAAATGAATGGGACCGCTCCACAACAACGCAGGTACTTCAGTATAAATTTGTAAACTGTGATCAAGCAAGCTACAACAGACGTTTCTGTAAGGCTGGCTATAAACCATCTAATTGTTATATGTGTTGCCTGACGATAAGCTTGTTCCTTAGGCTGTCGGAGGCATTTCATCACACATGGATATTTTCCAACTTGCTGAAAAATATATTTGTATGAGAATGGCAGACTCCTTCCTTCTTCTGCATAGTGCAGATGGAACATACAGCATGTGCCTCAATATCGCTGCCATGCAAGAAACAAGGGTGCCCAGGCAACTGAGCCATCTTTACAAAGATAATAGAACCATCTCCCACCCCCTCCAACTACCATTCTTGAAGATATCTGTCCATCAATGGCCAGCCTAACTAATATTAAAACACAAGTTTACCACACACACCCTCACACTTTATGGATTTTTACAGGTTAGAACAAAGTGCTTAGTGTTCAGAGTTTCACAATCCATGGGCATAGCATGTCACGGATTATCTGCACCACTGTTACATGTGTAAAGAAAGTGCAAACCAGAATGCAAGCCATATTAAGTTATGGTTGAAAACAACTGTAGAACTGGAGAACAACTGTAAAAACAATAGAAACAAAAGCAAGATCAAAAGCAGAGTTTATGTAATATGACCAATAAGGTTCTTTGTTTTATTTTCACATATAAATCAAAGAAATCCCACTGATCAGTTACCATGGACAACAGCAATTTCACTGTTTCAGTTCTAATGAAAAGGGAAAGAAGCTCAAAACACCTTATTGATTAATAATGCTGAATATTTGAGTAAAATCACATCAGATGGCTATTATGGGCTTTATAATTCTTTAATGTGCAAAATAGAATAGAGGTTCTCGTTGACAAATAATGACTGCCTGTACAACAAGACAACATGGGAACCACATCAAAGTTAGTTGAAAAACCCAATTGGTTGAGGATAACTGATGAAAACAAATGTACTTTTAATTCTAACAGCATTGCATTTTGTTATGCAGATGCAGCGGTATGCAGGTGGATGGACTCACCAGTGCTTGGCATGTGTTTGGCACGAGTCTGTGTTATAAGCTCCACTGGTTGGTCCCGATCAGATATTCCATCTGCAGAGAGAAATGAGAAGGTATACATTCAACTTATGATCAGAGTATGTCTGTATCAGTTAAATGAAAGACATAATGGAATAATGGAAAAATGATGCTCAGTGCATTACTCTTATTAAAAATGGAGCATCACTGAGGATAGAACCATGGGAATAAATACACTGTATGATGTCTGTGCACTAATAGGAATGTGCACGACTCGTCTGCTGTGTGCGGGTGCCGATCCATAGACAGGCCAGATTATCTCGAACAGTCCAAGGGTGAAAAGCCCCAATTTGATGTTGGGGTGAAAAAAATACATGGACTATTCAGAGACCCCCATCTAATATCTGTTCATTCATCATGTAAATTTTCATGCCTCCCCTATGAAACACCTGCCTGGCCCAATTTGGAATTAATAAAATGTCTTCTTTGTTTTGTATTTAGAAAGGGAGACCTGTGATAAACGAGAGCCTTCAGGCAGGAGGATGCAGAAAAGGCTATTCATTCTGGGGCAGTTTGATGACAATACGGTGCAGCTGCCGACTGGAATAAAAACCCAGGAGGCGGAGGCTATAAATAGCTCAGAAAGAGACGGCGCAGGGAGCCGACAGATTAAAATGCAGAAACACGTAGAGCAAGGAGAGCGTGCAGTTCCCAGGACTTCACAGGCAGCTCTCTACAGAAGAAAAGAAATCCAGTGTAAAGGACTGGAATGAAATAAAGCCATAGGAGGAGGAGGAGGAGGGAGAGATGAGTAAGGCTGCTGTGGGAAAAGCTGTTCATTCGGACCTTGTCTATCTAGTCAGCACAAGCCAGGAGCTCTTTATTCTGATTTTACATACAAGAGTCATAGGGGTCAGTGGAGCATCAGAGTAATCCTTCCATACTCCCTCCAAACACTGCAACACACCTTCATTAAAGTACTCTCTGTATGCTAATCTGCATAATTATCAGAAAACACAAACAAGTTCCCAAAACAGAGCTAAAATGTATAGATCATTCTGAATTTATAAGCAAACGGGCCTAAAATATTTGGGGAGGGGGCTAAACACATTAGACCATGGGATTAAAACAGAGCTCAAATATAAATATTTTTTTTTTTAATGGCAACCTGTTGAACTCAGGAAACCAACTGATTATTATTACCTAGTATATTAATATAGTATAGTATCTTAAATGTAATATCTGTTTAACACTTCATAATAGAAAAAGTCATATTAAGGTAAACACTGCAATATAAAAAAGGTATAAAATAAAAATATGTATTCACTGAAAACACACTATACTTCCCTTTCTTTTTATGCATTAAACCTTTTCTTTTATGGCCGCTTAGGTAAAAGCGTCCTGTAAAATCAATGAAACGGTCTCATCTCTAGGATTTATAGCCTTCTTACTGTAAGGATGAATAGTACTAAATTCCATCGCAGTGGTCAGGACAATGGCATTTTAACTGAATAGGCTGGGGGGGATTAGAAATATGAAACGGCTGTCACAATTCATTCACAACGAGTCGTAACAGCTTTCTCAGCTCACAAATTCACAAGGTAAAGGAAGTACTGGCCAAGTTTCAACTAGACTAACTTAAGAATGAGCACAGAATCTGAAAACTTTCAGAACGTCATTCAATACAACATCATGCCCTCCTCTTAGTTAGTTAGATTCCCTTCTGGGAAATGCAATGGATATTAAAATATTACAATTAGGGGAATTTATCAAAACTGGAGCAAACAGAATCCGGAGCAGTTGCCCATGGCAACTAATTGGCATCTCCCCCAATGCACCACCCGCGGCAGAATTTGTCAGGCTGAAACCGAAAATGACTTTTTCCCACCTTTTCCATATTTTTTAAAAATAATTGTATTGTAAGCACATGGTGCTGGAATAGCGTCAGCCAGGGAATGACAGCTGCCAGTGGCAAGATTCCACAGCAGCTGAATTTAAATACAGCAGGTAGTGGGATGGTGCAATAGCCAGTCTGCTATTGACCAATTCAAATAGCAAGCTGGATATTGCACTTCCCACTGCTTGCTGTGCCCTCCTCCCAGCATGGAGGAGGGAGCTAAGTGATCCAACCAACTAATCGATAATGAGAATAGTTAACAACTATTCTCATTATCGATTAGTTGGTTGCAGCCCTGGCATGAATCTGTCTCTTTTATATCTGTCTATAGTTCAGCTCCAAGTCCTTTTGATATGACAAAATAATAAAGTTCATGTATTTTTGTAGAAGAACATTTATTCACTGGTTTACTTTGTCACATTATACTGTGCTAATGAATCCATGTTAAGACAGCAAAACTTTATATTTCTTTAAGTATTAAAGAAAGGTCCACTTTAAAATAATCACGTTCTCCAGCCATTGGTTGTGTACCCAGTTTGAATCCTTTTGCAATGATGTCCCACTAACTGGAACTAATCTCTCTCCCGTACAATACTTTACTGTCCAAAGTACTCCAAGACCTTACACCTATGTGTGCAATTGGGAGATGGCCTGGGGATGTCACTAGAGGATGATGATAATATATATTGGGTCCAAATATGAGACACTAACAAATGCTTTTCCCACAACACATCAGCTGTAGTGTTTAATTATAAAGCACTACTTGGATAGTACATGTTACCCAACCGTGTCATCCATGGGAATTTGAGCCACTCCAATTAGTTTTTCAGGACCGGACACTCTTTACCATATATAGTGGACCTGTTCAATCGTGCAGAAGTTCTGATCTACAATATTTTGCATACCCTTCTTCAATGCCCACTTCCAATGCATCCAAGTGAAGCACTGCTCAATTTGAAATCTGAGAACATTTCCAGGCACCAATGTATCCCTTATGACCCATGTTTTGATGGCCATGAAACATAAAATTGCTAAGGCATGGTTATCTAAAACTCTGCACATGTCTTAAGTTAAAAATAGATTACACTGGACCCTTAAGAATGAATGAAAAGGCTGAAAACCATTGCTCTTGAATTTCCTACTAGCTGACTGGCTCTAATGCATATCCTCACTCATGTTGTGATTTACTTTTGACTATACTACGCATCATAGATCTAGCATTGGCTTCTGCCTTGTTGGATCTCTAAGGCCTGGTTCACACAAGGGCGCTTTACAGCGCGTAGGAACGCGCTGCAAAACGCCCTATGCCCAAAGAGGTACAGGAGCTCCTCTGGGCGTATCTGCCGCGCGTATCCATCGGGATATAGGCAGGTAGCCCTCGGAAACGCGCGTTTGGCACGCGGTTTTTTAACCGCAAATCGCGGTCGAAACGTGCGGCAAACTCGCATATTCCGTACGCCTAGGTGTGAACCCAGCCTCAAGGAGGGGAACTCTGTACTAGAATACTTGTTTATTTGAGAAACTGGAGGATCAACCATAGGCAGAGACATCCACTTTTTAGTCACCTTTGATTTATAGGGGTAATGCAATGAAGAGAGTCGGGGCAAAACAAGACTTGGGAGGGCAGAGGGGAGGGAGACAGGCATTTCTCACCTGCGACTCAGAAAGAAGACGTGCTGCCAGTGACATAAAACCCTTTCAAAATAGATCCTAGAGAGTCCAGGAATGAGGATAGCCCTGGAATACCCGAGGCAGAGGGGGAACCAGAGGAGAGATGCTGCCAGCACTGGTTTACAGGCATTATAAATTGGATCTTCCCGCAGGCCCCTGCATCCCAACCATCAAGAGCAAATAAACACCCCCTCTCTGATATGCTGCCCCCCAACAAACACCTGCTTGTGAGCCCCCTATGTGATGGTATTAGAGCTGCAGCTAACGATTATTTTCAAAATCGATTAGTTAGCCGATTATTAAGTTCGATTAATCGGTTAATCGGATAAACAATAAAATAAAGTTTAAAAAATGGCTCCAGTGATAGAACTACTAGTTTGTATTGAGATTGTAGTCCATCACAGGAGCAAGCTTGGAGCGGTGGAAGTAAAAAAGAAAAAAGATAGTGTGGTGTGCAATATAGTGAAATGGAAAGTGTAAAATTATACAGCAATGAATGCAGAATGGCACTGGCTATAGAGGACTACAAAACCCAGCAAAAGCACATTATACAGCGCAATGCAGAATACCGCCAGCTATAGAGGAATACAACAAATCCCAGCAATAGTACACAATAGCTGGCGGCATTCTGCATTGCGCTGTATAATGTACTATTGCTGGGTTTTGTAGTCCTCTATAGCTGGTGGTATTTAGCATTGTACCACTTTATAATGTACTATTGCTGGGATTTGTTGTAGTCCTCTATAGCTGGTGGTATTCCGCATTGCGCTGTATAATGTATTATTGCTGGGACTTGTAGTCCTCTATACAGCGCAATGCAGAATATCACCAGCCATAGAGGAGTACAACAAATCCCAGCAATACATTATACATACAGTGTATAATGCATTGCTGGTATTTGTATTCCTATGTATAATGTACAGTACAATGTACCATCAGCTATAGAGAAATACAAATCCCAGCAATACATTATAGAGCACCATGTGTGGGAAAGTGCAGGCTTACCTGAGCAGTCTTCCAGCAACTTGCTTCTGAGATCGGACCTGTCTATCAGCGGCTGTCATCCCCCCACCCCTGCTCCTCCTTACTACATCTCCCCGCGTGCCTTGCCGATCGTGGATGGGCAGGAAATGTGAGGCGGGGAGGAGGTGCGGCGCGTGGAGCGTGGATGCGAGCGGGTCTGGCAGCGTCGAGCGTGAGGTGGGGAGGATGTGCGGCGCACAGCGTGTGGAGCTGTGAACAGTGCCAACTGATCGGAATTCGATTAATCGATTATTGAAAAAGTTGACAACTTTTCCAATAATCGATTATAATCGATTATGTCGATTAGTTGTTGCAGCCCTAGATGGTATTAAAGTAAAATAAAAAAAAGTAGTAACAACAAAAGTCCATACTAATGCAAACGAGCCTTGGGTGCACCCAAATATAAAAACGATTGCACCAAACGTTGGGTATTGTCATGCATGCTGGAGTGAGAGAAACAATTTTGGGACCATTATTAATGGTT